TGGAGTTGGGTGGGGGGCTGCAGGTGGCAGGAGGTGGCGATGGCGAGGGTGGTGCAGTAGTCCACGGCCAAACCTTTCCAGTGCTTGGTGGTGGAGGTCACTGAGGGATGGCATTTCCAGGGTGGAGAGAGCGTTGGTGTAGCCGGAGTATTCTGCGCCGAGCATGATTCTGCAGGTCCTTTTCTGTACCTTCTCTAGCTGACGTTGTTGGGTGGAGTTGAGAGAAGACGACCAGGCTGGTGACGCATACGTTAGTTTGGGGAGAATAAAGGCGTTGTAGATGGTCCTCAGCTCTGGCGTGGGTGTCGCAAGTGACCTAAGTAAATGTGTGTGTGTGTGTGTGTGTGTTCTTTACCCTTCTCTAATGTTTCAGAAGTGACGAGTAAAATAGCAGTAGCTTGGAAAGAGGTGAGTGAAGCTGAGAGGAACAAGTTGGTGGAGGCGTACAGGGTGGATAAAGAGGCTTATGTCCTCAAGTAAGTGATTCAGTTTTGGTACTAAATGGATATAATGCAATACTGTTTCTTGTTATTGTCTCTGTATATTAATCCCTCAAGTGTGGTGACTTAATCTCCTGAGTACGGTGTTAGTGTACTCAAAGGGATAAGACATCGTACATAAAGGAATAATTATTGTATTTAAGGGGTTTAGTCATTGTATAGTACTCAAGGGTAAAGATATCTTACTGTACTCAGGAGAAATGCATCATACTCAAGGGGTTAAAGTAAGCTTAAGTTAATAAATCTTTGTTTACTGAATGGTTCAAACAGATTATGTATGAATAAATGTGTCTGTCTGCTCTTGTGTTTTGATAAGTTTACTTGAGTTAAAGGGACGGAGTGTAACAGTATGGCAACGTTGATGTGTGAAGGACATATTCTTACTCAGTGTTTCCAGACTGGGTCATGTGTAAGGTACTTTTATAAGAAGAATTTAATGTGTTGTGGTTTATGTTGTGTAGTCTGTTAGTCAGTTCTTTCCTATGGCTTTAGTAGGACACAGTTGGTAAGACGTTTAGTGAAGGATTAGAAGTGTGTGTTGATGTTGTACTGTGTATATGACCAGAGATCAATTAAGTATTACAGTACGTAGTTACATCCCTTCTTAGGTGTCATATTTCTCTCTCTCTCTCTCTCTCTCTCTCACTCTCTCTCACTCTCACTCACTCCCTCTACCAGGTACGAGGAATATATGAAGACCGTCACCCCAAAGCAACTCTCCACCATGAAAAGACTGAAAAAGGACATTAGGCAGAAGAAGGAAAGGCGGTATGAGAATAAGAGAGGCAGGTTAGAGAAGGAGGAACATGGTAAGCCCAGAGCCCCGGGTAATGCCTTCTTCCTCTTCTGGATGTCACTGGATCAAGGAGAACTAAGAAGAAAGGTATTTTTTTAATATATTTATCCATATTTTTTTGTATAGGCTTGGAACCCTTTGTGGGATTATGGAAAAAAGAAGCTTAGGATTCAAGATGATCTCAGATTCATTCCTCATTGTGTCATTTGTTTTCTCGAATCGTCTAACGTGATTTATAGTATGAGGACTGGGATGCACATGACCTGAATGTTACGTTCAGGTCTTATGGAGTCTAGGGAGTAGATTGACAAAGGTTCATAATAACCCCTTGTGTTTGGGCTGCCCTCTGAGCTAAACAAACTCATCTGATGTTAAAAAAAATACAAGATTAAAATGGCATCCCAGTAGTGAATATTCCCCATAACCAAAGAATGTGTCCAACTGTTTAACTTAAGCAAAAACACGAAAATAACTTAAAAAATAACACCCAAATTATACGGAGACTTTCATTTAACCAAATATATTCACTTGACAAATTCTGGACACACAAATAAGGCACTAAACCTTCTCCAAACAGTATCTCCATTGTAATATTGTCTGGTAGTAGTTGTTTGGGTAATATTTTTAGTTTTAGACCGAATTTCAGTCATTTTATCTGGTAATACTGTACCTGTAGTTGTTAAAGGAATAATAGTTGCTTCGGGATTATTTCTAATTTTAGGCAGACCAACATTAAGGAAAGGAGTACAAGAGAGCCAGGTGTAGAAAGCAACATTAACAGACTAAAATAACAAGCAGATGTACAGTAGCTAAAACAACTATCTGTGTGTACTTTGTTGGAAGCTATATGAGACCATGGACGATAAATTTGGGTACATGAGAGCTGTCACTAGTCACACATAAAATTACAGGGGAGCATATCGACCCCCACCTGCACAGATGGTTGTTTTAGCTACTGTACACACCCATATTGTTCTTGTACAGTCACCCACACAAGTCCTGTCACCTCTCCTCCTGAACCATGAACCCAAGATTCAAACTTGTGAATCTGAAGCATCCTTGTCTACTGCTTCGGATTCGCGAGTCTGAATCTTGAGGTTCGTGTAACAGCAGGAGAGGCAACAGGACTCGTGTGGGTGACTGTACACACAACTACAAAAAAAATGGGTTGAAAATGTAGAAGCTGTAAATATATTCCTTAGATACTGAAGACTAGTATGTCCTCAACTAAGAGATGTTCTTTTAGGAATTCTTAAAGGAAGCTGCCAGAAAGTGGAGCAGTTTGGGGGAGGAGGACCAGAGGCCGTTCTTCGAGAGAGCAGACAAACTGAGGGAACAATATTTTGGTGAACTCAAAGAATGGGAAGCCCAGTAAGTCATGTTGTAGTGTTGGTGTCACAGGCCTGGAAAATTATACAAAGGGTAACACATGGTCAAGGCACAGCACAGTGTTTATTTATTTATTATATTTTTTATTGGGAGAGAAATGAGAGATCATGACTACTCAGAGGGCAACAAAGGTCACTGTATCTACCATGAAATTCTAAGTCTGGTATGAATCACGTTGAATTTGTCATTACATCTTAGTACTGTACCGAAGCAGTTCAGATGTTGTCAAATATACTTTTAAGGCAATAGCTCTTGGTTCTTTCATATATTTCTGTATGGTGTCTAGTTCCCTATAGATAGTTCCAAATAACAAATCCATGCTCCCACATCAAAAACATCAATTTAGGTCCACATTTGTTTGATATATTTTTTCTTATATCTTGTGTGAGGTAAATTAAGGGTAACACAAACACCACAGAAGGGGAGCCGGGGAAATAAGGGGAAAAAATGGCATGATAACTTTACAAAACCATCAGGAAAGTACTAAGACATTTTTCATTTTCAGGATGGCCAAAGCTGGGAACTTTCATCTGATTCGGCCGCAACATCGAGTGGTGTATAAACTTTTTCAAGTTCAACAGGACAACCAGCAAGAAGACTGAGAGGACTTATTGAGTGATAACAGGAGAACGATTTAGAAAATGGATACTATTACAGCCTCTCTTATTCCACCCAGCTTGGATTGAGGGATGTGTACTGTCCTATGATAAGTAAACCTGCTTCACCTTTTTGGGCTGAGATTTCCAGAACTCAGAACACTTCTGAACACATTTGTCTAGTAAGAGAAAACATTGCATTATGTACCACAGTCATGTTCAAAAGTTCGCTCCCGTGGTGAAACTGAGTCACGGGGACGATTCTCTGAACTTATTTACCTGCCTTGAGTGTCGTTAGGTGTGGGAGGGCTGTTTTATCTCATTTGGGGTCGATGATGCTTCACTTTGGAAGGGAGTGAACTTTAGACCTTAGATGCACACAGCAATAAGTACGTTTAGTTGAAGTCTTCGTGATTCTGTGATTGTTGGGTTAAGTTTTAATCTGGTGGTCCAAGAGAACATCAGACCTGACTGCTAGCTGCCTTTATTAACCTTGATTGTAAGAGTATTATTATATTTTATTTTATTGTCACATATTTTACTGTATTTCTCTGTCATTGTGATAATTAAGTTTTACACTACATGTAAGAAGTCTCAAACTATCTCTCAAGATATAGAAATATTGATAACAAACATTTCTATTTTAAAATCTGTAAATATGTTTGTGAAAATACTGTATATAAATGTGCAATAAATTTTTTGTAAATAAAATGTATCCTTGTGAATAAACAAATTAATAAACTACAGGAAGTTTTATAGATGCAACAATAAAAGACTTACATGAATAATAGATTATAAAATTCCGTTGTTGTTTAAATGTGAGTAAGAATGTTAGACAAAGTGAGTGTGGCCCTGGCATCTCAGTGGTCAGGTCATCATTAACTGGCAGTAGACAGTCTAGAAATATGTGACATTTTCAGAGTAACTTAATGGCAGAAGACAAAGTGAGCATAAACGGTCTCATTATCTGCTCCACTTTACATGCAACTTGCAGGACCTCACTCCAGCATGTGTTAATACAGTAAATTAATAACAATATCAAGGATGTACAGTACAGTGTATCAGTGAACTGTAGCATTATGTGGAATGAGGAAGACTTGCTGAGATAATGTGTTCATGTGTCACAAGCTTTATAAATGCATCACCTCACCTTGGGTCAGGTCTTACAAAGCTCAGAAGACCAGAGATCTTTTTTTTAGACATGGTCCTCAACACCCAAGGAGTGAGGAAGATTTAGTAAACAAGAGAATCTCAGAGGTTGTGGTTGACAGGAAGAGGTGAGTGGAAAAAATTGAAACATAATTTGTGGTGAACATTAAAGTACTGTACCAAAGTTGAATTATTCAAGTGGAGACGATAATGAAAGATGAACTCCCAAACATCATGAGGAAACAAAGGGTCAAGAAAAGATGCAATTAAGTATATATAATTGTGGTAATGTAATTTTTAGATTAATGTTTGTCTTCGGTACAGTTGAGAATGAATTAATATGTAATATTTATGTATACAGTATATGTAAATTGTAAAATTTATAAATAATAAAAAAATTATGCCTTGATTTACATTAAAATGAATTTGATTAATATCCTAAGAAGACTGTGATGGTGTTTGTTAGTGATTGATGAAAGTAATAATATTGTAGTAAATGTTTGACGTTAGTGAAGACTTTGACTGTAACATGCAGTGTAGCCAATGTTATAAAATACTACGAACACAATCACTACTACTATTTATTTTTTAAACGGGCTGTTCTAATTTAACTAACATCAAAATAATTATAATTTCTTAGTTTTTGCTAATTTTTTGTAGATTTATTTAGTTAATGAGACCTGAAAATAAAAAAGTTGTTTTCTGTGTTGTTCGTGTTAACATTAAACGCTTAGCCTTACTGCCGCCTGGTAGGGAAGCTTCTGCAACAACCTCAAGTATATTTCTCTATTATATTCATTATTCTCAAATTTTATCTTTACATTCATGGAAACTTACTCAAAGCTAATTGAACGTGAGTTTGCTGAGCCATATCATGGACAAATACTTCATTAAAGTAAGGTGTGGAGCTCTGCCCTGACGACCTGTGAGGTAGTTGGTGTAGTGCATCACTGTCCTGTACTCTCTCTCTATATACTGATGGTCATATTTTGCATAAAACGCTAATTTGCCCAAGAAATGAAGGTCAGATTTTAATTAAAACCGAAAATGGGTAAAAAAAAACCTGTTCTCGTACCAAAACCTGAGGACAGCCAAAGGATGAATACTTAACACACAGTACAGTGTAGTCAGACTTCAAGTACTAATGTAGGTCGTTTGGTTTGGTCCAGGATAGTTAGGACCTAATTTAAACTAACATAACCGTGGTTCAAACGTCCGCTCACCAATTGTATAGTATGTATGTGCAAATTAGCGTTTTTGGCAAAATATGAACATTTTAATTTTTAACAGAAACTGCTAATTTACACAAAAATGGAGGTCAAATTTGAGTAAAACCCCAAAAAATAAAAAAACTATTCTCATACCAAAGAAACCAACCAACCAACCACCCTACCTAACCAAACCTACAAGGAGGAGACAACTGACTCTTAAGTGAGGAATATAACCTCGGGTAAACGTGGCAGGAACCTGCGGACAGTCAATAGACCAGTATTAATCCACTGTGTATACAATTCAGGTAATACTAGAGGACAGTAGCACACCTTAACCCCTTCGCTGCAAGTTTGCTGCTTTAAGTATTTTATGTGGGCAACGCTGAGGATTTTATCTTTTTCCAAAGTGGAAGCAAATTTGATTTTTTTAAAGCTCTGTCTCACATTTCTAACATAAAAACTTTTTGTGAAATGAATATTTTAAAACCTATCTCCATTAACCCTTTCACCGCGTGTCACGCACTTGCTATTTTATTCTGGCTACCGCCAGACGATTTTATTCAGCTTAGGGTAACCTCCCGCTGTGAAAGGTTTAAATAAATAAACATATGTATAATAAATTTTAGTCAACTTTACTTCTGTGTTTGCACACTCATACAATCTGTCTCATTTCAAAAAGCTGGTTTTCTGGCATCTTCGTGGCGTGGATTAATTTAGTCTTTTTCTCTTCTATTTTTAATTTATTTTTACTCCTACTTTTTTGCCCCCCAGGCCCTGTTGTGGGTCGATGACCTGTGCCGGGGTGGGCTATTCCCCGTAAAAAAAAAAAAAAATCATAGCTCAATACTGCACTAATACAGTACATTATATGACATCTCTATACTGTCAGGTGTATGAAGCTAAGTTAACACCTTCCTCGACAGATGGCGTCAACAGTGGTGCGACGTTTCTGCAGACTTGCTCCCAGACTCTTGACATCAGTTGTTTCTTCAGGCCAACAGCCACCTCGTAACCTTGGTATATCCACCATAAGGAATAACTCCACGTACAGAGCTGCTGTACTACAGGACTTTGGGCAAGACCTCGTTATTCAAGATTTTAAAAGGAAAAAAATTAAAAGTGGCCAAGTAAGTGAATTGTAGTTTATAAGCAAATGCCGAGCAAATGATCTAGAATCCATGAAACTCTTGACTAGACGTGAGCCAGATTTAGTATTTTTCCAACTTGCAGACAATAATACTGAAGGCTAGGAGTTGTGGTTCCTGCTAGACCGACCACAGGAACTAAATACCAAATGTAATGTATTTTTGTGTGTCTTCTGTGTACAGGTCAGAGTTGCAGTGTATAGTTGTGGAGTTAATGCTTCAGATCTGCTAATGATGGAGAATAAGTAAGTTCATCTTCTGTAGTTACTGTATGTTACAAACTTCTCTTTTGTGAGGCATTACAGCTGGTTTGTGGTACAGTACTGCATTAGATTGTCTTCCTTCTTTGACAGCCAATTGTAGCATGCTTTAGTGACAGTTGTTGCATATTTTGAGCTTTTTCCAAACACATCTGGATCAATCAGTTATTATAGAAAAGGGTTTTTAAATGGAATGGATGTTGCCATTGAATACAGAAAGACCAGTGACCAAACCTAACCCTTACTCCTCTACACTTAATACAGTCCCCCCCCCCCAGGGTCCATCCTCCTCACAATGGTCTGCCACACATTGTTCAGTTCAAATATCATCGGCAGTCTTTCTCCAATAGACAGTAGTGGCCAGGGCTAATTTTCTGGTTAGTTGGTCTTCTTTTATTGTAACTATCATCCTGAGAGAGTTTTTGAGTTCATCTTTAGTTGAGCCACCCAACACACCCAGCAGTTTGGCAGGAAAGGGTTGTAGTTGTGAAAAGATAACATTTATTAACTTTTTTCTCCCAGGTATGACCAGGTTTTCAAGCCCCCATTTGTCCCTGGCTTTGAAATTTGTGGTGAGGTAATGGAGTTGGGAGAAGATGTCAAGAGTGTGGCAGTCGGCAGTCGTGTCATTGGAATTAGCAAGGAAAATCTGGGCGGCTTTGCAGAGGAATGTGTTATATCAGAGCAGGTGAGAGGCTGTACCTTTATACAGTTTATTCCACACAGTGTATTATGAATTATATGTTGGTTTTTTTTTTGAAGTAATGTAGTGGAGACCTTAACACACAGCATTTGATATATACAGGACAGTACTATAATGTCTTTGACATGCTACTACCATGGCTATACCTGTGTCAACTAGTGAAGTGATGATGATATTGCAGGTCACGTCTTGTTTCTCTAGCCAGGGAAGTATCCAAATGGAGAGGTCAATTAAATTTCAAAATGAACACTGCGACTCCTGTTGTCTTATTAGGGTTGTCAAAATCCTTCAACCATTGTGTCATATTGTCTAACACAAAATCGTAAAGATAATTTTTGGAGCGTGAGGTACATGTTCAGTTATCCGTGACTGTAAACTAATACTTTACTGTATTTCATCATCATTTAGGACCTGTGGATGGTAGATCATGCAGTGGGGTTTGACAGTGGAGCTGCTCTGGTCGACACTTACGCCACCGCCCTGATTGGATTACACCGTCGGGCGGGAGTACACGAAGGCAGCACAGTATTGATCACGGCCGCTGCGGGAGGTCTGGGTCTGGCTGCTGTTGACTTGGCTTCCAGTGTTTATAAAGCTAAGGTATATTTATGACAATTTCTTCATCTTTTATATTACACTAGATATTTTATACAGTCAAAGGGGAATGTAATTAGATATGTGTTGCTATCCTAACACCTGTACCTAACCATTTGTGTGTGTGATTTCCTGTGCTGAATAAAATCATCTGTCATTAACCAAATAGAATAATAAAAGTGGCATCACAGCAGATAAAAAATAAAATTTATATTAAGTAATAATTGTACAATTAGTGAGTTCATGATAGGAATGTGAAGTCGAACAGAACTAATAGCTATGTTTACAAGATAGGTGGAGAGTCACAGGCTGTATGGATCTAAGAATACAAACCATTTGTTCAAGAAAAAGTCAATAATCAGTAGCATTAACCTTAACCCATTATTTTTCTCAATGTAATCTGTATGGGTGGGTAAAGTCAGTCTATATCCTTTTATGGCCAGCTATCCTTCCCTGCTTGATTTGAGTAGAAGTTCAAAACACTAAACCTTTGATCTAGACCTGAGCAACCTGGGAAACCTGACATTAATCCTGTACTGTATGTAGCGGTGCAGCAGTCATTCCAAAGTCTTCTGAAGGTTGTTTTAATGCATCTAGAACCTCCTTATAATTTTTTGAGGTCATATTCAATGAAAGAAGAACAAATAAGCCATCATGTTGGGCAGATGGGCTTCAACGCCAGTATCCTCAGAGTTCAGGTTTGAATTTTTCCATCGATGTCATCCACGTTTCACTGCCATACATCACACTTCTCCTGCCTTCACCTAGAGGAAAGGTTCTCTTGCCACCAGTAAAGACAACAGCTCACTAAACTGACTGCTTACATACTATTGTTTTGTCACCACTAAATATAAAGTTGTTTGTTGTGTTACAGGTTATTGGTGTGTGTGGCACGGAGGACAAAGCAGACCTTGTTAGACAGAAAGGTGCCTGGGCAGCCCTGAAATACAACAAGAAACACATTATAGCAAAGGTGTGGATAATCTCATGTTATGGTTCATATTATACTGTTCTTACCTGCATCATTTACTGTTGAGAAAGTTTGATTGTTGTTAAGATAAATAAAGGAATCATATATTAAAACTTGATGCCTGGCTGGGGTGACTCAAACACACCTAGAAAAATACTACTGGTTGAAATTTCAGTTGTAGTAAGACCCCTGACACTGCTGTCTGGAAATAACTATGGTTAGGTTATGTTATGTTAAGTGTAGTAGCACCTCTGATACAGTACTGCTGTCTGGAAATATCTGTGGTTAAGAAATTTGTTGACCTTTTCATCACAGCTCTATTGAGAAAGTTCCTATGAAACAAAAGTTACCAGATAAGTGACCACATCCTTTTGTTAATCACTTTAATTATGTGACTTTCATTTCATAGTGTCGAATAGCACCGTTAGGAATTTATGAACGTTGTATACTGTACTGTACAGTTATAAGTTTATGCAAATAACTCACTCTTTTCCTCTCTCTCTACAGGTAAATGAAGTGACTGGTGGTAAAGGCGTAGACATCATCTTTGATGCTGTGGGAGGAGATGTCTTCAATGATTGCTTATCTTGGTAGGTCATCGTTTTCTTAAATAGACAGGTGGTTTTTTTTTTATTGGCTAATTTGACATATCGACTCACTGGCTGTTTCGTCTGTATGTACCATATTTTTTTAGTATAATTCACCTATTAGTACCATGTTTTCAGTATATTTCACCTATTAGTACCATATTTTTATTTTATAAATAGGTACCCCGGTATATAATAATCGATCCTCGCCATTCATAATTCCTGGGTTTGCAGGTACTCTAAATGAATATACACCAACTCTCCATATGTGACCCCTGACCTCTGGTATATATGAGGGAGGGAGGGAGGGAGGGAGGGGTGTCTGCAGGGTAGGGGGGTGAGGGAGGTTCTCACTTATTTATTCATCATGTGTTTATAATGATGATGAAAAGGAACTGTAGATTTTTTGGTACTGTCCCAATATTTCAAGGCCTCTGTTATAAAATGGGATTTAATTTTTCCAGCGTGGCACATGAGGGAAGTGTGATAGTGGCTGGCTTTGCTAGTCGAGTCATCCCTCACATTGAAACCAGCCAGCTGTTGCCCAAGGCCGTCTCCCTTATAGGGCTCTCCCTCACACACTACCGAGATGCTGACAACAATGTGTACAGGTGAGTTTGTACCTTTGTTTATATTACCGGTCCTAAGACAATTTGGCACTGGTTCAGTATGTAAGTTTATTAAATATAACACAGTGTTCAGTAGACCAGTGATGAAGTGTCTGCCCACCACTTTTACCACACATACCTAACACATGACATGGCATAAGAGAGGTTTTTCAGGAACGTAAACCTCTTGTAATAATTATAACTTTAATATGTCGTTGTGGTGTAGGATTTTTATACTATATATTGTAATGTAATGCAGTACAATACTTTGGGTCAGTACAATCATGGGGAAGAGTGTTCAGTGTACAGTATTTTTCATTCTTGAGAGAAAAATTTGGTTGACATTAGTTGAAGTTTGTGACATCATGAACAGGATTCACACATTTAGCAAACTCTAATATAATGTCCACGTGACACCATTATGTCAGAATTGCATTTATATTTTAGCATAAAACTCAAAATTAGTTTCAATATTTCAATTTCAGACAAGCAGTGGAAGATATAATAGAGATGCATGAGATGGGTCTTATCAAGCCACATATTTCTGCCCTGTTCAAGCTGGAAGATACAAAATCAGCTTTTGCCTTCATGACTGAAAGAATGTCTACAGGAAAAGTGGTGCTCGAGATACGTTAAGGAAAAGGCTTTACAATTTATATAATCAATGTTGCTCTTATAGTATAATATACTGTACAGTTTAATGCTTTGTTATGACATCTCTGTTTAAAATTATTTTAATTTGTGTTGATCATAATAAAATGGTTTTGATTTATTGATCTGTTTTTCATTACTCTTGGACATAATGAGAGAAAATATTCACTCAATAAAAGTCAATATGTCCTGAACTTTCCTCACACAAGTTCGGAAAATGTCAATAAAATGTTGATGATGTCCTTATGACTCCGGCCTCCTTTCATAAGACAGATTTAGTAGAAATGCAACTCAAGTGACAAGGACTGATCTTATACCGGTAATTACTCTACCTCCCCAACTACAACTTTAATCTTGGAAGGGAGGGCAGTGTTTGGTCAGGTCAGGAGATTAACGTGGTCATTTTTCTGAGGTCAGACTAGCAGGTGTGGTATGTGAGTTCCTGACTCTAGGCTCAGCGGTTTGACAACATTGGTAAAGTAAATCAGATCATATAGTTACTTTAGTTTTGTACAAGACATCGTCGTGACACTGACTACTTCTGTTTTAGATTCAGTTATTTACTCCGTTGGAATACATAAGGTTAAAATGTAAGAAAAATTTGGTACTTTAAAAGATATTGATGTGATTTTTGCTGTGGTACCATGATTTCATATCAAGTCTTTTGTGTAACAGTTCTGTATTGTGATTTTTGATTAGTTGTTATTAAGATTTTATGGTGATTTTTTATGTACTGTACTGTACTGTACCGTGCTATCAGTGTCGTGGTACTGTACTGTACTGTACTACCAATGTCATGTACTGTACTGTAATTATAGATGATGACTATTAGCAACAGAGCTGGACATTGAACTAACCCTTTCCAGACAGTGTGGCTGGCAGAAACACCGTTCAAATGCCAAAGGTTCAAAAGAAGAACTGAGTTGATGGACCGATGATTTTTTGCTCAAACACACCGATCTGTTTCCTTCTATTAAACAAGCAGTGTTTAAGCCACCGCACCTTTCGTCTCCTAAAACTCATTTCCATTCCCCCTTTATCATTCCCCTGAACCTTCTAACCCCCCTGTCACTTGCCTTTATTCATGCATTCATTATTGCTCTGACATTACCCATGACAACATGCACAGTGGAGATATCATTCAGCACATTGAGAAGGGTAAAATCCTGGTTAAGATCAATGTTGGCAGGAGATCTGGGCCGTGCATGATGAGTGAGAATAAACAAGAACTCATTCAAAAAGTATTTGTTATATTCTGACAAAAGTTGAGATGCTTGCAGTGACTTTACTGGCCTTTAAAACCTCAGTTATGGACGAAAATAAAGATGCAGAGATTAACACACGACATTCAGACAAATTCATTCATATTGGGGCTGCCATCTTGGATATTAGTAGCTATTTGGGATATGCTGTATTGTTCTGGTAGTCCCGGGGGGTGAATTTCAGTCTGTATGTCATCAAAGCACATCATGATATTGAAGAATATTTAATATTACAGTAAACACATCACAACTCCTTAAATATTACTGTTAGCACATCACTAATTCCTTATTATTACAGTCAACATATCACAATGCCTTAAATATTACACTTAATATATCACTACTTCATTAATATTACAGCAGCACATCACAACTCCCTTTTATTACAGTTAGCACAGCACAAGTTCTTAAATATTAGTCAGCACATCACAACTTCATTAATATTACAGCAGCACTCCACAACTCTTTAAATATCAGTTCGCACATCACTACTTTAACATAATAGCAGCACATCACAACTCCTTATATATTACAGTTAGCACATCACAACTCCTTAAATATTTCAGTTAACACATCACAACTCCTTATATATTAGTTAGCACATCACAACTTAAATATTACAGTTAGCACATCCCAACTTCATTATATTGCAGTAGCACATCACAACTTCATTATATTGCAGTAGCACATCACAACTTCATTATATTGCAGAAGCACATCACAACTTCTTTAATATTACAACCGCACATCATAAGTTCCATTAATATTAAACTCAGCGCATCACAACTTCTTAAATATTAGTTAGCACATCACAATTTAAATATTAGTTAGCACATCACAATTTCTATAACATAGCAGCACATCACAACTCCCTTAACCCTTTAGAGGGCTAAGTATCCCTTTAAGTATTTTATTCTGTCTAACGCCAGACGATTTTATTCAGCAGAAGAGTTAATATCTAAGGGGTTAATATTAGTCAGCACATCCCCGATATATGCTAGAGACAGTCATGAGTCATTTAACTGAGAACGTCCGGAGTACCAGCTGACTGATGCCACACCTCCACCACATCCTGTACCCAGAGATTAGAACGTCTACAATTGCCTCTCTTATTTATAAACCACATCAGAGCACTTTGCTCAGTCGAGAGTTCATGTGTGGGACTGGGAGATGTCCGCCTCACTAGGGGTCACAACCTCGGGTTGAAGAAGCCACAAGTTCAGAAAATTGTCAGGAAAAACTGTTTTGGAGTGATAATTGTGAATTATTGGAATAACCTGCGAGAGAGTGTTGTGACGGCACCGAGTGATATCATTTACTAACACTGACTCAAGTACAGATACATTCTGAAGTCAGTACTTGCCTACAGTACTTGTGTATCAAACGTTACCGACCGCCCAAGCGTTATCAGGCCGGTCAGTGTGTCTAGGAGAGTAAAGGTAAAGCACAAGTTGCTATTTAAGAGTGTACAGTGTCGTGAACACCAACAGTATCGAGTGGGTCAGTTGCATGGACACTCAGACATACATAGTCTCTGTACATGTTTGATTGAATATTTTTTGGAATAATAAGATATTTAAATTATATTAGATCAGGATAAAGAACTTAGTGAAAGTGGTTAGTGGCGTATTATCAGATAGCAGGAATTCGGCTGGAGAATTAGTTGTGGAACTAAACATGAGTGACAACCTGACAGCAGTTCTGTATGATCTTCAAGACATGAGACTGGTGAGTAACAGCGTCATAACCAGGCGCAGTTTTTCCTTAATGTGTAACAACCAAGGATATTACCCTGTGTTCAGTGCCGGATTTAGACCAGTGGAGGCCCATGGGCAGCCTCTTTGTGGAGGCCCCCCTCATTATAACTACCCAAGAGGGTGGGGTGGCGAGTGTGTGGGGTACGAGATGTTTGGGTTCACACTCAGGATGGGGTGGAGAAAGGAAACTCACAATGTGCTCTCTGTATACATGTTGTATTGGATGTACAATGCAGCTTGGTGCTGGGAAGGCAGCATGGTTACAAGCGTGATGTAGAGAGAGCTGGTTGGTGAGGATGCTCAGAGGAGAACAGCTTGTGGGTCGCCGTGCTCGCCGGCGGGAGCGAGGACCGCCAGGCAGGCGGAGGAGGTGTTGCTGGCTGGTTGGTGTAGGTAGAAAAAAGAGAGGTCACCACGAGGTCAAGTCTTAAATAGCGGAGGTAGGTGTGGCTTAGTAGTTGACCTCCGTCATGTAAGGCGGCGCTGGTTGACCCAGACCACGAGGCATACACTGGGGAATTCGCGGGTCGGTTACTCAGCGACAAACAGTGTTTGTAGGGGAGGTATCCACTACAAGTGAAGCGAGCCTAAACATCTGGGAGTTCCGGGGGGCGCTGTAAGCCCCCCGGGAAAATTTTGAAATTTGAACACTTCTTTGGAGAATTTTGAAGCCATATGCAGTTATATTGAGGAAATTAGAACATGGAAAAATGTTTAATTAACTGTATATTTATTGATAGTCTACAAATTCCCATGAATTTTAAAGAATGAAAATAAAAATAATCCAAATGAGTAAACAAATAAATAAAATATTGTAAAATGTGGAGGCCCCTGGGCAGCTGCTCACTCCTGAGTCCGGCCCTGCCTGTGTTACTAGGTGTGTGAGAAATAAAAATAATCATGGAAGTGGGGAAATGGTAAACCTCTTTACTTCCTTTTTTACCTTAAATTACACACTGTACTGTATACGTTTACATACTAGCTGGGGTATCTGACGTTAGTTTTTTAATTGTACCAAATTTCACACTGTACCAAATTCCTGCGGAACTGACCGCCAGATTACACCTTCCATTACATAACCTTATCAAATTTCAACCCTGTATGTTACAAATTAAAAGGAGGTAATGCAAAATAAAATATACACACACAAAAAACCTTACTATTAGTTATTATAATAGACGTAAAGAGGTACAGCGGTCTCTGGTAACGCGTCTCTCCCCACAACATGTCATGGGTTGAGTCCTGGCACGAGACACACGGGGAGGGTGTTATCCAGATTCCAGTGTGACACCAAACATCACGAGTTTCCTCATGGTACTCTGGTTTACTCTTGTATTAACACAGGACATTGAAGTTCATAACAAAGTTACAAAAAAAGCTCATACATAGGTGGTGATATGGTTATCTTTAGGAGTACAGAGACTAACAACTTGGAAAAGTTTATAGACTTTAATTAAACCACCTCTTGCCTGCTTATAGTATAAGCTAGGCAAATGCAGGCGTTCTACACACAAAGAGTTACACATTTAAAAAATTTCCAAGTTGTTCTTCACGAAAGGTTTCCAGGCAATATATATTAAAAAAATTTCGTCCCCACAGGAACAGAGGCCGGTGCCCAAGCCAGGACCTGAAGGTAAGACGTCATTGGTTTTACGTTATTTATAAAATTACTGTAACTTGATTGAAAATGGTGGAATTAATTGTCTCATTATTTCAGAAATGTGGAAATAGGGTTAAAGAAAACGAGATGTAAATTTTAAGTTAGGCAACGTATTAAGAGTACAGTGTACTGCATGTGGTTTCGTTCAGTATTGTATTCTTGTAATCATTATGCATATAATAATCCAGTAATGGTAGATACTTTAGCACCATAGGGTAGAGGAGTGTAATGATAATAATGTGTAAGCATAACTATGTCATTGTTTATTTATCACGGTGCATTAGAGTTTTCTCAGAATATTTATTGTTGACGGATTGATGCAGCAACTAACCTTATTATGAGCTTAAAGATCTTAGTTGTTGAAGCACAGTAATAACATAATATCATCAACACAATGCATTGAGGCAATGTGGCAGGGTTGTGAGTGTGGGGATGTTTGTAATCTTGTAAAATGAATGGTTAGAAGGGCGATTTGAAAGTCTTCTGTGATCGAAGACATTCTACATTTTTGGCCATTTTCTCTAGGTAATAAAGCTAAGGCCCGACCATCCTCTTCAAGTATTTGTGACCTAATATGATGGCTTATATATACTATTAAAGGTTCTCTCCGGGGAAGTCCAAATCTAAAATTAGTTTGATCAGGGGGTGTCACTACTGCAGCACAAGCCAGCCAGCCAGCAGTGAACTTTAACACCAGGCTATAACCAATAATATAATATACTGAAGATTAATTTTGTCAGTTTATGAATCCATTTCATCAATTATGTCTGCTTAACTAACTTAATTTAAACCAACATAGACAGTAATATGCTGTTTTTAGGAAGTCATGTCATGGTACAGTTTTATTGTACTGTAACATTTTTATTTTTAAATGTTTCTAAATGTTTGTGTTTTTCCTATATACTTAAATCATACAGTAATGTTTAGGGAAGTTATGTTAGCCATTGTTTTGTCGTTTTATTTTTATTCTCTTCACCAAATGATCGACTAGTTAGCTGCTTGGGCGATCAGTCACATCTCTGTTATGCACTGTTGGCAAGTACTGGGCATGCACCGGCTCCTGAATGTACCTGAACCCGCTCCAGTGTTGGTCAAGTATCTTGAAAGAGCTCACATTCGGTGTCGTCACAACACTTTCTGGTAGATTGTTCCAAGAGTTCACAACTCTCACTCTGAAAAAATTTGCCCTCACAGTTTTCTGGACTTGCAGCTTCTTCAATCTTGAGCTGTGACCCCTTGTGGGGCGAGCATCCACCAGCTCCAAGGACACTCGTTTGAGTAGTCCCCCTTGAGATGCTTATACACCTCGATTAGGTCACCCCTTGCCCGTCTGTAGTATAAGCTAGGCAAGTTCAGGCGCTCCAATCTCTCAGGGTAGCTGAGGTGCCGAAGGGCAGGCACCAGTCTAGTGGCCCTCCTTTGAACATTTTCAACCAACTGACAGTCCCTAACATATCTCGGGGACCAGACGGGGTGACAGTACTCCAGATGGGGAAGCACTTCACTCTTGAAGATCGTTACGAGGGACGGTCTAGATATCTGAACGACCTTCTTATAAGACCCAATAATTTATTTGCCTGATTTACCTTCTTCTCGCAATAGCCCGAGAACTTCAGCTTATTGTCAACATACACACCTAGGTCCTTCTCACATTCAGTCTCAAATAGTGCAGTTTCTTCATCCCTTTGGGACATTATTGTCTCATGGCCTATTTAATTCTTTAACATTCTTTGTTCTTATTTCTCAGACTAAGGAGGTGGACACTGCTTTAAGTATAATAGAAAAATTAATGTAATTCTTCTATTGAGACAGAGGGGAAGGGTTGAGTCTGTTTTAAATGAAGCATCAGAGAAAAAACAATTTATAAAATTAATAGACATATTCTACTTTTCTGTGCAGTGTCATTCACAGTTGCCCTATTTATAACTGTTTACTCTTTTTTAATTAATTTTTTAATATTATCAATAATGTGGATGTACATCATGCAGACGTGCTCCTGCATGTGGCCAGTGTGGGGATCTGCGGCTCAGATGTGGCCTACTGGTGGAGGGGTCGCACAGTCCGCAATGTGGTGGAAACTGCTCTTGTGTTGGGCCACGAGAGTTCTGCCAAAGTGGTCACTTGCGGCTCGGACGTCCACAACCTAAAACCAGGTCATTCAGTTCAACTCTCAATTACTAAGATGTGTCCTTATTGTATAATGTGTGTGTATGTGTTTGAAAGGCAGTTTATCCTGCATTCTCCTCAGATTTCTGATATGCCACCACATTTGTGCAGGGGCTAGTTTATTAGGCACCATCTTGCATCCTGTACAAGATGAAGCACTATAGCATTACAGCGACTAACAGAGAAGCATGTTGAGTTCATGCTTGCCTTCTTTGACCTAATCAAAACAGTAATTACCACAACTAAATGTATAAAGTAATGTAAAATATCTTTACAGTTCATATCTTGGAATACTAACCTAAACCCTATCTGTACTTTACATACATACATACTTCATCACATTCTCGAGGTTGTTGGTGAAATGAAATATTGTATTTTCACAGGTGATCGGGTGGCCATTGAACCTGGCGTCCCATGTAGGAAGTGTGAGTACTGCAAGGGTGGCCAATACAATGTGTGTCCTGAGATGAGGTTCTGTGCCACACCACCAGTCGATGGTACCCTCACCAAGCACTTTGTTCACCCTGCTGACCTCTGTTTCAAGTAAGTTACCACACGTGTGTGACGACAATGAACTGCTTCAACTTGGTTTATGTATGCATTTGTACCTCAGTGAACACAATATCTAAATACAGTACAGTGTAATAAGTTCATTACCTTTAGTGAAACCTTGGGAGTATAAAGTCTGTGTTTATAATTTATATTCAGGAATGAAGGAGTTTGGTGAACTTTCATGATTTTAGTTTTAGAAGTTATGGAAATTATCCTGAGAACTCTGAAAGTTTGTGTTATATTGAACATTGAATATATGACCACATCAACAGGGAACTGAAGGCAAGTTTCTTTTCACAGGAGGTTGTAGGTTCCTTCATTTTAAGGTGGGGAAATTTTTTCAGGTGCACAAATCTTCACTTAGGAATGAAGTTGGCTTCTAGGAGTTTTAACCTTGCAAAAGAATTTTTTTCTGTCTGAATGACTGACTACTTCAGAGATGAGCCAATTGGGAAACTGTTAAAAGTTGTTAAAATTCCTTCCTGGCTTACCATGTACAATAATAGACATATAGGTTTGCACCTAATCTGGTTTTATAATGGCTAAGATTTCTTTATCAGTAAGATGCTGAAGTTAAGTCATGAACAGGGGCATAATCAGACATTAAAGAAGGGGTAGGGGGGGGGGGGGCAGCTCATCCCAATGGCACATCTGTTGACAAGATAGCGTAGCTGTTGAGCGGGAGGGGGCGACTCTCCCAGGCTGAAGAAGAATATGGTAATACGTACAGTAGTAATGAGAAACATGTTGTGGTGACATCTGGAACACATAATTAAGCACTGTACAGTACCTGAAGGATGAGTTTCACACTTGTTTTCTGGCAACTTTTTATTTAAACATTTGAAAACAATAAAAACTTACTTTAATAACAATTAAACTGAAAATTACTTATAGAGACAAAATGTAAAGTGAAAGTTCAGGTCATTACATTGGGGTGAACAAGGCAGCATTATTAACAAATGACTGTCATCCCGTGCCTTGCTGGTATAGCATCTCACAGGTCAGGTCATTCAGTGAATGGCCCACACATTATTAATAAAGGGTTAACATAGGAAGCACCATTTTATAACAAAGGGGACAAAGTGAGTGATGCAGATTATAAAACCTTACATTAAGATGTACTGTACTGTACTGTAGTATATTTGAGGTTTTTATGTATTTTGAGAACCTCTCCACTATTTAATTGGTAAACTGTGATGCCTTTAGATTAAGGAAGTCAAGGGCATTGTCAAAAAGAATTTGTTTCTTGAGGGAATCTGGAAGATCTGAAGATTCAATTAGCTTCCCAGGATGAAGCTCACCGAGGGGGAAGGGGTAGTCTGAGCCCAGGATGACGCGGCGTTCTCCTATAACCTGTCAATATATACAGCGGTGACTACACTTATCTGTAATACTTAAAGGCTTAAGCACATTGCTTCAAACATATATACAGTTTATCTTTCAATTAAAATACCACATACAGTACGTAGCTCTTTAAATATATTTTTTATTATATATTTTATCCTCTTTGCCAATGATCGGCTCGTTGGTCGCTTGGTCGGTCGGTCACATCTGTTACGCACAGTTGGCAAGTACTGGGTACAGTCAGTTCTGCTATAACGCGATAGTTGTGTTCTTGTAAAATATCGTGTTATAGAAAATCACTTAATAGAAATAACAGGGCTTATGGAGAAAATAGGGTTAGGTGCAGATTACTACTCGAAATCGAAAAAAAATTAGTAGTTAGCCTAACACAAAGGATAGCACAGTCTAAATAAATGTTACATTCATATCTAATAATGAAATCATACAGTAAATGTAACACATTACCTTGAAAAAATATGAATATAACTTGATGGGGGAGAAGGGTGATTTTGAGGTTGATAACATCGAGCTTCTCTTCAAGTGTTATATCCTTTCTTTTACGATCATCAACGGGAATTCGATCACCAGAACGCTTCTTGGAGATATTCTTCTTTACCATATTCACAGTTAATACCACAAAATTGGAGAAATAGTAAGCAAAAATCGCGTTACAGCAAACAAGCGTTCGCGTTATACAAATATCGTTCCTCTATTCATAAATCGCGTTAGAGCAAATTCGCGTTATCAAAACACGCGTTATAGCAGAACTCACTGTATGTATTGAGTGCCGGCACTAGTTTATTAGCCTTCCTTCAGGCACTCTCAAAAAGGTTTAGAAGATACAGTATATAAAGGCACAAACCTTCAGAAGAAGCCTCAGGGCATCAGCATCGTGCACAAGACTGTCACACCAAAACTTGCCCAGGTAGGAGCGAGGAGGTGTGTTACATTCTGTAGCACAGAGGTCAGGTCGCACGTTGTATCCATGTTGAATACGACCCACCGTGTAGGGGAAGGATCCTCCTCCATGAGCAAAGCACACCTTCAGCCTGGGAAACTGGTGTACAGTACAGTAAAGTCATTATTTACCTTCTCAAGATTTTGTATATGTCCACACACATACACACTATATATACTGTACAGTAAAATCTAGTTTCTAGGAAGAGGTTTAGGACTGAATTCATTCAGTTAAAAAAATAGTAGTTTTATAGACTGATCCATTGCAACTAGTCTAATCTTTCTTGCGTTATCACCAATAACAACAGTATTGTAGCGAGATTACAACAGTATACATTTTAGAAATCTGCATAAAACAGAACACAATGTGAGGTTATCTTAAGTATTAAGTGACTGATTATATTCACTTCATAATATATTAGTTGTCTTTGGTGATATCTGTAAATAGTCAAATGTTTTCTCTCTTAAGCATCATTCATAGTTTAGTATTACCAGATTAAAACTGTCTATTTGTTAGTTGTACAAAATTTGAGCTCACCTGTTCAAATACATTGCCCATTAGCATGCAACATATAGCAGTGGCAGTCTCTGCCGGCATCCCCACCAGCCAAGGTAACCAGTACTTGCTGTATCGCCCACCCATCTGCATGTCCCATGGGTGTACAAACACTGACAAGCCTGGTGATTCACAAAACAACTTCAGTATATTGGTCACTGCATCGTGTTATATTTACTAAACTATTATTTTAATCCTTTCACGATGTCATTTCATGGTCAGTTCTAAAAAAACTGTTGTGATGATATGCATTACAAATACAGTACAGTATATAAAGTACATGTAATTAAAAATAACTTAAGTTTATTTAATTTGTACAGTACCATTGTAAATCTGTTGCCATTTGTAGTAGTGTTCATGTCACACCAGTGACCAATCACAGGCTGCACTTTGTCCAAATGAATATTGAGGATGTTATTGAATATATACGGGTTCTTGGAGTAGATGTACCAAATCTGAAATTATATACTGTACATACAGTACTATACTTTCTGAAAGCCTCTTGGTCACAAACATTTTGTACATACTCTAGTGGTGGTGGTACAGCGGTAACGCGCATAACTCTCACCAATATGTCAAGAGTTCGAGCCTCGGCCCAGACACACGTGAGAAGGGTGTTGTGATCCTCACTACCACAGGTCTCCCAGTTTCCTCCTGTACTAACACTGGATAGAGTGCCCAAACAGTTGATAAGTGGCTAATGTGATATTTCAATACTTAGGTTCTGAGTGACAGGCGATCACCCTGTTTACTTGTTTGTTATGTTGACGATGAGATGTTTATTTTCTGAGAGAATTTGGCTGCTAGGGAAGGATAGTTGTCCTGTCTGTTGTAATTACTAGGTGAAGGAACTACGGTAAATATATGTATCAGAAAAACAAAACTATCTTGTGGCCATTACCCACAGCTGAAGCCTTTACAAAACCCACGGCTTGATACTGGGCTTCAAAATGTGCTCTTTCTCTCTCTCTCTCTCTCTCCTGCACTTTTCACTTTGTTGTTACTGAAAAATAGTAACTGATGAGAGTTTACAAAGGCATCTATCACTAACCTAAGTCTTCACAAGTCTTCCATATAGGATACAGTTCTTTAGCATCTAAATTCCATTCATTGATGTGTGAGCCAATCTGGATGCCTGGGAAGTGAAGGTCTGCCTTAAGTCGTTTGAGTTCTTCAACAGCAAGCTCTGGGGCCTGGGCAGGTATAGTGCCAAGTCCCACGAATCTTTGTGGATGTTGCTTCACTGTTTTAGCAAGATCATCGTTCAGCAACCTGTGTTATGGTTAAAACATGTGAGAAATGCTATATACTGTACTGTACTGTACCTGTACCCTGTAATACAAAAATAATTATACATGGTTATAAAGTGTTTATATTTCAAAACAGGATAATAGGGGGGGGGGGGAGGGGAGGCTTGCAGTGCTGCCCCATAACACCCAAGGTACAGTTTACCTCCACAACACATGTCAGTTCATCACACCATTAACTCCACTAATCCTAGCTACCATTGACACAAAATTTGCACATGACCATCTTGGATTATCTAAAGACTGGGCATTGCAATTTGTATAAAGCTGGAACATAACAATGGACATGCACAATAATGATGCATGACAACACTTCATCAACCTCATTTAAAATCATGCAATTTGAAGTTTTATTTTGTCAATCCATGATCCCTCAATTGTAATGCTGCAATGAGAAGCTAACAAACAACTTTTATTCTTTAACATAAAGCTCTAATTCCTTTAGTTAATGAGTGCAAAGAAGATAAACTACTATTACCTAGTACTGTACAATATTGCATTATGGTTCTGTAAGTAATTTTTACCTTACAACTAATATGTAAACACCAATGAACTGGAAAATTCTATGATGTGGTTCTGCCAAGTCCCAAGGTTGCTGAGTTAAGAGATGCTCAACCTTACTCCTATAAAAGTATTCCCAGAAATAGTCATCAGTCTTGGTAAAATTTTCCTGCTGGACATAGTGAAGTAAAGTGAGACCGACTGAAATAAGCTCAGACAACCATAAGTATGCTCACCTTATACATCCCCATCAAAATGTTCTAGAATAAAATCAACTTCATATCGAAAACTACCCCGGTAATCAATATTTCCATCCAACTTAACAACCTAAATCAACCTAACCTAAACTAACTCCAGATATATTACTGATTATACTCAATTTTCAAAGGAATTTACTCACCTACTTAAATCTAATGTGTGATCAGGTTTAGCCCAGTAACTAAACATGACAGGCACAGTCGAGAGAGCTTGAACGGTGACCCCAGTGTTATCCATGTCCCTGATACGGGCGGCGGCACTCCAGCAGTTGTCCTCAATCACACGAAACAGTTGACCGTCCTTCATCATATTTGCCTTCCCTGATTGTTGTAAAGTAAAAGGTGAGGAGAAGCTTTGATGTAGGTATTTTGGTAGTGAGGAGGGTGTGGAGTGAGAGGGTAGGATTGTGGAGTGAGATGGTAGGATGGTGATAGGGTGGGATGAGAGTGTGGAGTGAGAGGGTGGGATGAGAGGGTGTGGGATGGGAGGGTAGGATGAATGAGTGGGGGGGTAGGTGAGTGCAGTACTGACCTGGTGTACACTGTGATGCGTGGTCAAGTTGGATGAAGCCACCATAGCCATAGCGTTCCTTCAGGTCAGGCCATGTCTCTGGCAGGATGTGGTTGTGTAGGTCCAGCTTGAATAGTGACATCTCTTAAAACGGCCTGGCTTCCTCTTGTTGGGCAAATATAAAAATAGAGATAGAATTGACTAAACTGTACAACAACCCCAATTATATCACAGTAATGTGTTATAATAGCTGCAGTACAATAATACATATACCCAACAGTGATAATGTTTAAGTCTGCTCTATAGCTTACACTACTGTACTGTACTTACACGTCTGACTGTGAACAAGTTTCTAGAGTGAGTCAATACCACAAATGGTTAAAACCAATCCTTGTGATATTCAGATAATTAAATCAGTAGTAAAAAATTTTAATACACCTTTAATATTAACAATTATTTCACTTGGTTTTTTAATGATCAACTTTTCATAATTTTAATACAGTAATTATTATTTTTTTTATACTGTACAGTACATGTATTGCATTCTAGGGTCTACTGGGGACTGCATCCTCTTACCTTCAAATTATCTTTTCATGTCTGGTACTGTACTGTACTGTACAGTAGTGTACTCTATATTTTTAGGCCTATTAGTTCCCAAATTAAAAAGATTTCCTAATCTGCATGTTTCTAACCCAAGTTTTCTGATAATCAATATACTGTACAGTATTAGGTACAGTATTGTACAGTATATAGTTATGTGCATGGGGTATGTACAAAATTTTACCTGACAGAAATATTTTGATTCTGTACCAAGTTGCAAATAATGGAAGTGCTGTCAGAATATAGAATAAATGGCTAATTACAAACAGCAATAAAATATACTTATATCTCCTACATCAGTAAAGTAAATACTGTACAGTGTATCTTTTGAAAATGGTAAATGGTTTGGTATAAGCAATAGAGGGTAACAGGGTAGTGTGTTGTCCCTCTACTATTTAAAAACAACGTGAATAAGATCATAAAAAATATAAACCAACTTCAAGAATCATTAATCACAACTGTTGCAGATGATGTTCATCACTGACATATGAGCAGAGAATCTCTTCAGGCAGCAGCGGAAATATTGAAGAGTGTATTAAATGACAGCGGCCAAAGTGGGACTGTGAAATGGGCTAAAAAATAGTCTAGTGTTAAGAGTGATTTTGCAACATCGCAACATCATTTTGAAATCTTAAAACTTCATGGACCGCTTTAAAAGTGCCCTGGCTTGTCTTGACATTCAGGGTTAGTTGATCACTGTGAAGTGTCTCAACAGTAGGAGGCCACACAAACAGCCAGCATCAAGTGGACGAGCACAGCAATATTTTATTGCTGTTTGTCAGTGGAGTACTGTCACCCCGTCTGGTCCCCGAGATATGCTAGGGACCGTCAGTTGATTGAAAATGTCCAAAGTGCCTGCACTACAGCACCTCAGCTACCCTTAGAGATTAAAGCGCCTGAATTTGCCTAGCTTAGAGTACAGATGGGCAAAGGAGGACCTAATTGAGGTGTATAAACATCTCAAAGGGCACTATTCGTCGAGTGCCCTTACTTGGAGCTGGTGGACACTCACCCCACAAGGGGTCACAGCTCAAGGTTGAAGAAGCTGCAAGCCCAGAAAACTGTGAGGGGTAACTTTTTCAGAGTGAAAGTTGTGAACTCTTGGAACAATTTGCCAGAGAGTTTTGTGATGGCACCGAGTGTGAGCTCTTTCAAGACCAACACTGGAGCAGGTTCAGATACATTCAAGAGCCAGTGCATGCTCAGTACTTGCCAACAGTGTGTAACAGAGACGTGACCGATCGCCCAAGCGGCTAACGAGCCGATCAGTGGTGAAGAGGATAAAAGTAAAAGTAAAGCATTTTTATTTATGGGAAAAACTAAGGGGAAAATCAGAATAGGAAAAGTGCAATTTCTCCACCTAATTTTGCTTATTCTTGAGGTTAGAAATAAATTTTCTTCAACAGAGATATTTCATTGGGTGGTTGATTAACTTGGACCCTTGTCATTAACTATTACAATCACACCAGAACTTTTTTTTTGTATAGAGGATGACAGATTCTTTCTTGTGTTAAGAATATGCCAAAATATGGAAAATGATTTGAGTTTTTGTTGTATTAGTTTGGCGATACACACAAACTCTTCTTTTCCGTAAAATTAAAATACTGGTATAGTACAGTACAGTACTGTAATGTAGTATTTTAGGTTAGGTTAGGTCTGATGGTAAGGTGTAATTGGTAACTTAATTTGTATAGAAAGGTCGCTGGGAAGTATTCTGTCTCTTATAATTTAGTCAGTTACTGGATTTTCAGGGAATTGTTTCTAATATAGATATATTATCTTTATATAACAGTTTGCCAACCAGGAAAACTGTACTAAAGAAACAAAACAATACCCTTATTCTGTACGTCTTCTGAGTTATTTTGTCAATATATTGGCATCTTTGATACTTGAATTGTTTTCATCGTTCTCTGTTTACGAGTTTTTGGACCTTTGATATATATATATATATATATATATATATATATATATATATATATATATATATATATATATATATATATAAATTTTCAATATCCTTTTGTTGAAGTTATGAAAAATGTGAACGAAAAACATGATACACCTTAGATATTTAGAATTCACCAAGTAACTAGCTTTTACTCTTCACCACTGATCGGCTCGTTAGCCGCTTGGGCGATCGGTCACGTCTCTGATTACCTCCGTACTAAATACATTAAGACTATAACTAACTTATTACAATGAGAATCCTGTTACTTTTACCATCTTCACCACTAATCGGTGAAAGAGGATTCGAAGTTTCCGCAGATAAACAAATGAATATTTATATGAGCTGAAGTTCTCGGCCATTGTGAGAAGAAGGTAAATCAGGCAAATAAATTATTGGGTCTTATAAGAAGGTCGTTCAGATATCTAGACGGTCCGTCCCTCGTGACGATCTTCAGGAGTGAAGTGCTTCCCCATCTGGAGTACTGTCACCCCATCTGGTCCCCGAGATATGCTAGGGACTGTCAGTTGGTTGAAAATGTTCAAAGGAGGGCCACCAAGCTGGTGCCTGCACTTCGGCATCTCAGCTACCCTGCGAGATTGGAGCGCCTGAACTTGCCTAGCTTATACTACAGACGGGCAAGGGGGGACCTAGTTGAGGTTTATAAGCATCTCAGGGGGCACTACTCAGTTGAGTGTCCTTACTTGGAGCTGGCGGACGCTCGCCCCACAAGGGGTCACAGCTCAAGATTGAAGAAGCCGCAAGTCCGGAAAACCGTGAGGGCAAACTTTTTCGGAGTGAGGGTTGTAAACTCTTGGAACAATCTACCAGAAAGTGTTGTGACGGCACCGAGTGTGAGCTCTTTCAAGAGAAGACTTGACCAACACTGGAGCGGGTTCAGGTACATTCAGGAGCCGGTGCATGCCCAGTATTTGCCAACAGTGCGTGACAGAGACGTGACCGATCGCCCGGGCGGCTAGCGAGCCGACCTTTTGGTGAAGAATATAAAGGAAAAGAGTCGTGACCGATCGCCCAAGCGGCTAACAAGCCGATCAGTGGCGAAGAGGATAAAAGTAAAAAAGTAAAAGTATAAAGTATACTTACTGTCCTGAGAAATGAGAAACTGTTATGGGAATCGTGGGTGTGGCTCCTTAAACCACCTGCTTCACAGACTTTATGGAAGACCAAGGTTGTGGGACCGGTCCAACCTGGCCCTGGGCATACCCGTTGTGTTACTACATTTATCTTTTATTATGATTATTATTATTATCATTATGTTTATTACTTGATATATACCTTCCGTGAACTTGACTTGTGTGATTGAAAAGAAAGTACATGTTTTAGAATATTCATAAGATTTATAAAACAATAAGTTTACAAAGGTAAATAAATGTAAATACAGTATAGTAGGCATCTTGTTGTCCCCTTAGCAACACCGGGAGGTAGTTAGTCAATTAGATAATGTTATATTAAAAAAAATCGTTGTGTTCTAATACATCAAAATCACTTACTGTAGAAAAATGAAGAATATTACAGCAAGAACAATTAATCAAGATAACTATTTGTAGAAAGTTGGGCGTTTTTCAGTGACAAGATGGCACTAGTACGTGTTTACTGCATGAATAGCTCAGTACTGCCAGCCGTTCACTCAATTAAAACACACTTGGAGAATGGTTGATGTTTATTCTGTCATAATCGATTTACAACTTCACATTGGGTTGATCATGTACAGTGGATAAACTCTTGAAGCCTTTAAAGGCAAATACATTCAGGAGCCAGTGCATGCCCAGTACTTGCCAACAGTGTGTAACAGAGACGTGACTTATCGCCCAAGCGGCTGACCAACCGATCAGTGGTGAAGAGGATAAAAGTAAAAAGTTCTTTTATCTTCTTCACCACTGATCGGCTCAGGGCAGGATGGGTGGGTGAAGGGGTAATTAATTAAATTACGAAAAAAATAGAGTATAAATTTATGCGACACCATTGTACTTTGATTAAGTGAGACAGAAAAAAGTATATAAAGGTATGGAATTCGGGGTAACATCCTGGCGTGGATCATGACCATTACTTCGTGACCATAACCAGTGTGTGGTGAGTAATGGCGCGAAATCGTCGTGTGTGCCCATAACAAGCGGGTGTACCACAGGGAGGTGTTCTGGGACCGTTGTTACTAGTCATTCTTTCATTTACTCATCTTCTCTTCGGTTCGCTGTGGATAAAGAACTAACTACAATATACTGTATAATACAAGTGGAATATTGATTTTTATGAGAAACCACATTTAACAAGTTTTATGTGAAGATAATGTCGCTCGCTAGTAGTGCAAAATGATGTTATATTTCAACGTTCAAGTGAAGTGCGTAAAGGATAGCCGAAATATAGCCAGTTAAAACCCTAGCCTAAATGAATTACCAATTGTCAATACAGACGATAACGACACCCACGGCTGAGGTAGAGCATAAGTTCGTCTGATGTTTGTGTAGGCGAGCTATTAATTAAGACGCAAATATCAATAAACAATAATTATTTATAATAGGGCAACCTAGTGTATACTTAGGCCGTGAGCTATTGAGACCAACTGACCCCCTTCTACCTGCCCCCAGGTTGCCAAAAAACGTGAGTGACGAGGAAGGAGCGATGTTGGAGCCACTGGCAATGGCCGTGTACTCATGCCGACGAGCCGAAGTGGGCGGTGGCAGCATTGTTTTGGTATTGGGCGCCGGGTCCATTGGACTGTTAACACTACTCACTGCAAAAGCAATGGGTGCCGCATCTGTCTGTATAACGGGTCAGTGTTTATCAGTGACACTTTTGGTTAAGTGGTATCATACTGTAACGGATGGTGAACATTTGGTCAGTTGGCAGCCACTTTGGACTGACACCTTTAATCGATTAGCGGGACCTTTGCACTTGCAATACGTTTGGTTTTAGTATAAGTTAAGACATATTCAGTAAAACCTCTCGAAGATGAACCATTGAATATTGCGGCTATGAATATCTTAGTCCAAAATAATGATTTAAATAAATAAATATGAGTGTTACTAATGTCAAAGTATTTCTAGTGTTTATTTAGACCCGTATTGACCTGTAAACATGTACTTTAAACATGTATGCCTATCATATCCTAACCTAACCTATACTGTATACTGAATATATAAATCGTAAATAATAAAGGGAAAAGGCTTTGTACAATACTAAACAACATTTGAAGATCTGTAAGGATTTGTAGTTGGATCAGTCACTGTAACTGACCACAATATTTACAACGTGTGTATGAACTGCCTCTCTGTGTCATGCAATAGAAGGCGAGGCTTGTTGAAATCTTCGTGGGCTTTTGGCATGGTGAGTCTGCACGCACACACACAAACAAAAAAAACTGAAGTACAGTTATAATAAACTTAACAGGGAAAAAAATTAAGAAAAACACCCCAAGTTCCTTTGTACTCCCGCAGACATTAATGAAGGTCGTCTGAGATTTGCTAAGACTCTTGGTGCCAATCGCATCATTAACGTCTCCGGTCAGAGTGAAGTGGAAGTGGCCGCCAGAATCCAGCACGTAATGCCGTCCCAGCCAACTGCCATCATTGAGTGCTCGGGGGCTGACTCTTCGTACAAGATTGGAATCCTGGTTAGTGACTTGACTCTATAATATGGTATTGTAAGTAGTAAAGAATGAATGATTTTAGTTGTTATGATAGATTTTAGTCTTTGTTATATTGATTTGTAGAATAAGACTCACAGACCAATGCCAAGTGATCGTTCAGTCGTCGTGGGAACGATACTTGACATTGCATATATATACCTGTACGGCTATATTCGTCATCGACAGCTATTGTGGGAAGAGATTCTGGTGATGTGGTTTGTAAGTGATCCAAAACACTTAATTAAAATTCCTGAGAGATGTAAATCCTGGTTTATTACGACGTAATGAAAGTTATGTCTCAATATAGTCATAAGTGTTTCTCATCTCACGTTCATAAGTCGCTGCTGCTGAGACACATAAAGTTAGTGTTTTATTATACAATTCACCAATACTTGAATAATTTGATTAACACTACACAATAGAAAGACATGAACCTTATGAAGTATATATAAAGCTTTGGGGGGAAGTTGCAGTTCATGGTTAGGAAAGAAAATACTTATAGATATCAAATACGTACACAGATAAACCTCTGAACTTTATGTAAGATCATTAACATTACTTAACTTGGTTACTTAAGGCTGTTATGGACGACGGCATCAAGCTTGTATGGCTAAATCTCCGTCCATTAATGTGATACAGAGCGGTTATAATACGAATCGACTTTACAATACGAAATACAAATCTAAGCATAAGTGTATAACCTAAAAGCTTCCAGTGTTGTTGTTTTTTTTTTTTACACGGGGATTAGCCCACCCGGGCAAAGTTCACTGACCCACATCGGGGCTTGGGGGATGTAATAATAATAATAATAATAATAATAATAATAATAATAATAATAATAATAATAATAATAATTCATAGTAAATAAAAATTATACAGTAATAAAAATACAAAATTAAAAATAAAATAATAATAATAATAATAATAATAATAATAATAATAATAAAGAACCATAAATAAATACAAAAATAAAAATAAAAATCAAGAGAAACTAAAAATGTATGTTGTGTTGTCAAAGTAAGAGAAACAATTGAGACCCTGCAATTACGTGTATTCACCCAATTCCTTTTTTAAATACTGAGTTTATACAGGATTTACAGGATAATTCTATTGTCATACTTCAGTTTTGACGTAATGTGTCTTGCCGCTCCCCTCCCCAGGCCAGTGCTCCCCGGGGTGTGATGGTATTGGTGGGACGAGGTAAACCCGACGTCACTCTTCCAATTATCGAAGCCGCCACCAAGGAGATGGATATTCGTGGCGTCTACCGATATGCCAACTGGTAAAGCTACATTAGAGGGAATTATACAGTTGTAGTTAATGATAAATATAGGGATTGTAGGAGGGACAAGATGATAAAGATGGGTTAGGATAATGAAGAGGAAGGATTCTCATATCTTTGCGGATAGAAGAGCAAAATGTTATCCTTCTTTCCTCCTTCCTCTAACTATTCTTTTCTGCCCCTAATCCTTCTATCTCCTGCCTCTAATCCTTCTCTCTTTCTATCCCTCTAATCCTTCTCTGTCCTCCCTCTAATCCTTCTCTATACTCCTCTATATCCTTCTCTCTATTCCCTCTAACCCTTCTCTCCTTCCTGTAATCCTTCCCTCTGTAATCCTCTAATCCTTCTCTCCTTCCTGTAATCCTCCTCTCCCTCCTCTAATCCTTCTCTATTCCCTCTAATCCTTCTCTCTTTCCTGTAATCCTCCTTCTCTCCTCCCTCTAATTCTTCTCTCCTCCCTCTAATCCTTCTCTATTCCCTCTAATCCTTCTCTCCTTCCTGTAATCCTCCTCCTAATTCTTCTCTCCTCCCTCTAATCCTTCTCTATTCCCTCTAATCCTTCTCTCCTTCCTGTAATCCTCCTTCTCTCCTCCCTCTAATCCTTCTCTATTCCCTCTAATCCTTCTCTCCTTCCTGTAATCCTCCTTCTCTCCCCCCTCTAATCCTTCTCTCCCTATAATGACCGAAACTATAATTTTACCGTAATGATTATATTTCACTATAAATATTTTTTCTGACTTTATTCCCATGGCTAATATCTTCCCCAGTTACCCTGCAGCCCTGGCCCTTGTATCCTCGGGGTTAGTGAATGTGAGGCCCTTAGTGACCCATCGCTTCCCATTAACTCAGGTGGTCCAAGCCTTCCAAACGGCTAAGGATGGAGCTGCTATCAAGGTGATGATCCAGGTTGACCAGCGTAAGTAATCAAGATACTCAAGTACGGATATAATGGTTCGGGTTAAGCAATGGAGAATGATTTGAGGGAGATAGAGAGGACGATTAATGAAGGAAGGATGAGATAAGGATTAAAGGGAGGAGAGGAGAGAAGGACTAGAGGAAAGAAGAGAGAATGATACGCGGAAGGAGAGAAGGAAAATAATTTGAGTGTTTCTTAGATTAGTTCACAGGTTTGATTTGATTCGTGAGTTTGTATTATTACATATCCTGTTCATGTACTTTGAATCAAGTGAATTAATGTAAAAAAAATATATATTTTGTAATTTTAGGACAAAATAAAATAATTATCTCAAACTCTCCAGTAGTAATTTATTACAAGAATGGCGTTTGTGTACCAAGTTGTGTAGTTTAGTTTACAATAGTAAATTAAACTAAACACCGCCACCACAAACAGGCATTGCATAATTATTACACCACCACCACCATGACAAGCAGAAGGGGGGGGGAATGGAGTCTGGACGCTAGCTGGAACTGGAAGCCTAACCTAAACGTTAGTCGTGAGTGTGGGAGCGTGGACAAGAGCTTGGATCCAGAGCTACACTCGACTGTCGGCGGCGGGAAGACCATACCTCTTCCACCTCTCCTCCGCTACACACTACACATCGTGATAGTCGACTTGCTGACTGTATATCACCTCCTCATGTGCATTATAAAACAATATTAGTAGAAAAGATATATTCAGATATAACTACTGATTTGTGCGTGTGTGACTTACCCGAAATCATAAATAGGCCGATCAACACCAACTGACTCTTCAAGAAACAATTTTAACAAGCACTTGGCGCGCAACTCCTTTCTGATACCACATCGATTGTTCAAGGTAAGTTATAGTACAGTGTGAGATGTTTAGCAATAGGTTATTTTAAGTGTTAAATCAGACTATGGTTGATCAAGAATTAAGCGACGTCTGTATATTCGAACGATTTATCTTGTCAACTCAGAACATAACAGAAAAAAAATAATAATTGTATTGTTACTGAGTGGATAGTCAGTGATACTAACGTCACTAACACTATAATACTAATCTGGAAGAGGCGTGATGTGAGAGATTATCTAAACAAAAGTTGTGACGGTGTTAGTATTTTCAGGCGAAGTGATGATAAATAAATAATTTCACAGCAATTGGATCAGCATTAAAATTTGACACAAAAACAAATCAAGACGTTATATAGTAACGGGAGAGCAACGAACCTAGATGTTGCGGTTTTATTGTAGAGTAATTATGTTGCACAAGTGATAATTTATTTCTTGCAACATTCAGTCTTGCATATGAGATGGAGTAAATGCTGTGAGTGCTATGAACCGTGTCTATAATTTGACTATGAGTGGGTGGTATGAGGCTTCAGAGTACTGTAGGAGTATAGTGTTAATTTCAATTGTGCTGCCAAAACTTAAGCACAAATCTTGGGGTTATTAGTTCAGTGATTAGCATTCTGGTACCATGTGTAACCATCGTCTAGTATAATTTTATATACAAGTCTTAGCTCAACACAGGACCAACAGCCAACGCAAACAAATTATATATAGCTCTTAATTGTTGAAGGACTTGTGTAATTACTAATCGGGTTACGCGCTTGAAAACATTATTATTATTATTATTATTATTATTATTATTATTATTATTATTATTATTATTATTATTATTATTATCATCATCATCATCATCTCTGTTGTCACTCACAGTCGATTATGACAATCATCCAGAGATAAAAAAGTTTGGGAATTTTGTGTTGGTGTCGTCTTTGTTGGTAAACTCTACAGTATGTGGCGTGAGAGGTATTACGGGATCTACAGAGGTCGCATGTGAAGAGGGCTCCACCTAGTGTGGCAGCATCTTTCACCTGCTGGCATTTATTCGCCCTGGCGTGTTGTTGATTAACCCCTAAGGTGTTCATACCCTCTCGTGCGGTACTTCTCCAAACGTCACGGCAGGAGGTGACGGTGTTCCGGGTGTGTGTGTGTTGATCTGACATATTTTTAGTCTTGTCTTGGGTGTATCCTTGTAGTGTGCCTCTTCAGTTTGTCCTGTTAGGGAATGTGGAGTAATGTTTTTGTTAATCTGATGTTGTCTTGGCTAGTAACTTGACAAGTGCACTGACATGTTTCTTGTATGTGAGCCAAATCTATCTTCCATACAGCAGGGTGGGCGATGGTAATGCAATGTGACGCTGATGAATGAGTAACCACCCTGTCACGGTTTGTTGCCTTTCATTATGCGGTTGAGTAAACCCACTACACTGTATTAATACCTGGCTGCCTGAATCCTGACATGCCACAAGTACCTCTGTAATGGTTATGTGTTACTCCTAATGCACCACTATTAAATGACTATTGCTTTTATCATTGGTATTTCAACATTTCAACGTTCTTCTGTTCCACTTTTCCTTTTCTTGTTTTGTTGCAGTTTGTCTTCGTTGTTTTGCGCTTCCCTTCATGTTTTGTTCCACTGTCATCTATTGTTTTTCCTCATTTAACCCATTTCTTCCTCGTGTTCCTTCCCTACATCTTCCGGTATTTGTTCCTTTTTATTCTATTCGCGGTCCACCTACACTTCCTGGTACTACATCTGCTCTTCCTGTTCTTGCTATAACTTCTCTTCCTCGCGTTCTTTTTCAGTCTTGATCAAATGTCCGTTTTTTGTCACATTGGTCGGTTATCTCCTGTTTTTGTCACATTGGTCAGTTATTCTCCGGTTTTTGTCTCATTGTTCGGTTATTCTCTTGTTTCTTACTACTCATCTTAGCTCTAATATTTCCTTCTCAACTCCTTTCTATTTTCATCGTTTTTCCCCTCATATCTATTTCATCTTTCCCTGATCCCACTATTATTGCCTTCCTCTTATTCCTTCCTATCATCATTCAGAGTCCTATCTTGTAATTTTAATTGTTGGCGTACTAGAATAATTACTATGTTGTGCGCGTAAAGACCTTAATAGTTGAAATACAGTAATATCATCACGTTACCGTCTTTATCATCTCCCACATCCTGTCCTTCCCATTTTTTGTTTATTTTTCCCCCCTCCTTTTTCTCGTGTTTTCAACCGTGTCTAGCAGGTACCGTGGCAATGTTCGACCACATTTGCTCCGATATTACGACTAACGGAAGTCCTGTGTGTGAGGGAGCTCGAGCGTCGCCACGTATATTAAACACGCTTACCAACTTCGCCAAATTGTCGCTGCTGCTGCTTCTCAGAGGGCAAACCTCGCTCTTGCCTCTCAGGAACACGAGTTACATGGGTACTTCGCCCATACACTACAAGGATGTCACTTTTAATGTTTTATTTGGCTAATGACAGACGATTTTATTCAGTAGAGAGAGAGAGACGCCCATGCAGTATACAAGGGGTTAATCGTATTTTCTGAATTAGTTGATTAACATTAATTATTCGTCTCATCTCTCTCACCCTCTCACACACCCCAGCCTCATCCCTCTCACTTCCTCACAGCCTCATCCCTCTCACTCCTCATACACTCACCTCTTCCCACTCACCCTCACACCCCCAATAAATATCAATACAATAAAAGTTAACGAATAAACAAAATATCACATCTTTAACTTAAGGTGGCCAAGATAGAAATGTAATTGGGTGAATCAAAGTTATCACGTTCGAGTTTCAATTGTGCTGGTTCATCAGTTGTAAATACAGTATTGTTGTTCCTTCGCGTGTAGCTCATCGTAATTTACAACTGCTGGCGGCTCCACCTTCCTGTGTAACTAACCTGGATATCAAGTAACATTAATGAATACCCAGAGTCTTCTATATAGGGTGGAGAATTCTTGTATTATTATTATGAGTCATTGATTGATTTTATGGATGTGGATCATGACTGAATACATGAATCATTCACTCAAGGGTATCGCCCCATATTAATCTTGAGGTGGTCACTATTATTTGCTATGAAAAGTCGATGGCAATATTGTGAAGGATTTTTTGAGTAACTTCAAGTAGTATTGTGACTTTGGTCTTATGACAGTGGTTATCATAAGGGACCTGAAGGGCTTCGTCCATACACTAACTCACTCCTGTCAAAACTTTTCATTAGTATTTGCAATAATATGTGTAATTTGAGACCATAATGAAGGCTTAGTGGTAGAGAAGACTCCAGACGACCTGTTAATGATGGCAAAACTATTATCATTGTTGAGAGTTACAATGTTAATGGTAAAAGTAGCAATGTTTATGGTGGTACAATGGTGATGGAGGCATTGTCATTTATAACAAAGATTTATAATAGGGGAACAATATGAGGTTAATACAGGAGGCAACTGCATGCTTCAGGCTCCACACCACAACATTTATTTGAGGTTTTTGCCCCTTAATTAACAAGAAGGATGATGAAACACCCAGAGCTTATTGTGAGAGTCATGGTGGTAAATATTTGTCTACTCCACGCTCCGCCATTCCTCATTCAGCTGGCTGTTGGCGCACACTCTTGCCTCTCAGGTTTACGGCCGCTACGGTATTGTGTGAGAAAAAAATGGTGAGCTTCCTCGTCTCCAACCTCCGTGTCCATACTTTTCTGTCAGACCCGCCCTGTCCACACTTTGTGCATGTACACCTGTCTCCACACTTGTGTACATACCCGCGGGTCATCACTTCCGTGTCCCTCTCTACTGATGAGTTCAAACATCCCGAGTCCACAGCTACGCGTGAACACTTTTGTGTCCAGACTTCCTCATCCATCTACGTGTCCACACTTCCGTATTTACATCTACGTGCCCACGCTTCCTTGTTCACACCCACGTGCCCACACTTCCTTATTCACACCCACGTGCCTACACTTCATTATTCACACCGTGCCCACACTTCCTTATTCACACCCACGTGCCTACACTTCATTATTCACACCGTGCCCACACTTCCTTATTCACACCCACGTGCCCACGCTTCATTATTCACACCCACGTGCCCACACTTCATTATTCACACCCACGTGCCCACACTTCATTATTCACACCCACGTGCCCACACTTCATTATTCACACCCACGTACCCACACTTGCGTCCATGCCTTTCTTTCCCAAATCGAGGTAAAGGTTCTTCCCAATCAGGCAGTTTATAGAACCAGAACACAGACAAGTTAACTTTGTAAGAGAAAATGGTAATTGAACGTTTATTGTGATGTAGAAGATGGAGATGACCTTCCACTCAAGTTTTCTCTCATCTCCTTCCGTAACTTTGTCTATTTAGAAACTGCCAGTCGTAAGGATCTCAACACTTCGGAATATTAAGTAGAAATCTTTTTTTTATATTGAATAGTTTACGATACTCGATGATATACACTTTTATACAGCATATTGTGTCAACTACACTATCTGGGTTTGATAGATTATCACTACTTATATTTTACTGTTATTTCGTAATATAAATCAATATAGTCAATAACTTTTATATATCGCGAAAACCATCACCACCACCACCAACTAACACACACACACACTACAATATTCACCACCATCAACAGCGCTATCACTCCAATTTCCACCACCACCAACTTCACCACCACCAGTACTTCCTCTCACAGCGCGTCAACACTTCCGGAAGGTGTAAGAGAGCCTAGCGGGGCCGGGCGGGAACAACGGGACTGGCGTGGCGTGGGATCACACCCCCATTACAGAGAAGCGGTCGTCGGCGCTGTGCACGAGTGGACAACACTCTTGCTACCGCCTTCTATCAAATACACGATTTTCATTCTCCTATAATAACTATTAACTCATTCAACGTTGACTGCTTAAGGGTGGAGTTTAACATGTGGTTCCTTAGGTTATAGATGTGGGAAAAGTAAGTCAGTAGTGTTAAGTATACCGTAGTTTCAAGCGTTAGTCATGCGCTGTATACGGTTCAGGTAACGGGGTTGATGCCATAGATTTATACGGAACGATGACGGTCAAGGAAATTCGTCACCCAACGTATTTGGAGTCTGACTGATGCTGAAGTATGTTGTGTAAAGGCCCAGTTAAGTGTATTTTCATTTGTTTTATGTTTTATTTTATTTTTGTTTTATTCTCCCTGAATTAGTGAAATATTATTATTATTATTATTATTATTATTATTATTATTATTATTATTATTATTATTATTATTATTATTATTATTATTATTATTATCATCATCATCATCATCATGCTATTTTCATGGTGATTTTTTTTTTGCGCACAGTACATTAAACTTCACCTATTTAAATTCTGCCTATGAAGGAAGAAAAACTTGAAAAGTCGATAAAAAAGATAAAGCCAAGAAGAAGGAGGAAAGGAAACAGAAGAAGATAAACATTGATAAGGAAGACATAAATGATAAAGAGGCAGGCATGTTGACTGTACCTGCAATATCAACCATTTATACACGCAATGTTTACAACTCGCGAACGGCCTTATAGTTTTGTAGGTCATACAACGATATAGTTTACCAGCTATAGTAGATCTTATTCTGTAATAACAACTTACCTTCCTCAGACACGGGTATCGTAGATCTTATATTGCAGTCATCAAGTACAGTATGGGTACATCTACTCTGACTTCGGGCATCAGGGGCGGGGATCCGGCACACACTAATGTCCTGTTGGATTTTTACTCTCCTGTCACATGATTACATTTAAAAATACTTACGACATAAAATCATTACTTATCAGCGTACTAGATTTATGAACCTGTCTGCATATATCAAGTATTTATATAAACTTAACTCCAATTGTTTAAAATGTATTTCATTGCTTGTGAAAAAGTATGTAGACGTTTCTTTCAAGCAAATCCATTACTAGTTCCATGTAATTATTATTTGTTCTTTATTATACAATATTAAAGAAAAGAAAGGCATAATATATTAATTTCTCAAGACAGGTACATGATGAAGTATGAAGATGTAATTTTTTGTGCCTCTAATACCAAACAAGCTCCAGCGAACACGTAGGAGATGATGACAAATTAGTGGATCTCTGTTGTCTCCATCACAGACGCCTATCACAAGTTTATAGGGAAGAATGTGGGCGATTCTTACTTGATATAACCATCGTGACCTCACTATAATTGTTGTTGGTGTTGTTGATGACCAGACTATAGCCATTATTTATGTTGTTTGTGTTATTGTTAGTGTTGTACTGTCTTTGTTAGTGTTGCATTGTTGTTATTACAGTATATAAATTCTAGATTCTATTATTAGCAAAATCGTCATAAAAATCGGGATGGGTGGCAGACCAGTAATGTAGGTCTATTTGGGTGGCGGGTGCCCTTAGGATGGTGAGTGACTGGTACTGTGCGTGGTAGAACAGGAGTGACTGGTAATTGTGTGTGGTAGAAAAGTAACTGGTACTCGGGAGTGGTGTAGAAAAGTAGCTGGAACTTGGGAGTGGTAGTAGAAAAGTAACTGGTACTCATAGACAGTGGGTGGAGCTCCCTCATGGCCAGCCTCAGTATAACAGTTAACGGTCTATGACGAAGAACAGTTATTGTGTACCACTCGAGATGTAGTGCTTGACGAGGCCATCTTGAACACCTTACTAGTGCCTGCCATCTGATATACTATGATTGGGCGGTTACACGCCACCACACAATATGTACTGAGAGAGGCACCAATGAAGCGTGGAAATCAGATAGATACATAGATACCAAGTTGTATTTATTTATCATTTTACCATCATCTTATCAGCCGTTCGGAAGGTTATAAAATATTGTAACCTAGTTTATTGGTTTGATGACTACTAGCAAGCGACCTACTGTATAAGAATAAGTGGATTGAACAGATGTGATACATTGGAGTCATCCTCTCACTCCCGTTCGGTGAGGATTGTCTTATAAACCACCATGTGCCCCGCTCATTTGTACACCTTTTGATATATCGTATGTTGGTTTTAGGGGAGTTGGCCCGTGTAGTAAAGTGCAATCAAGTAATCAAGGCGTAGCTGCTAGTCTGGGTGGTGAGGTTGATACGCGCCAGTTCACTCTAGGCAGACGCAGTAATCCTTGCACATACAGGATGGAGATGGGTGGTGTGTTGAATCCTGTTTTGATGGTTGCTGTATTTTGTTGGGGTTGTGTGAAATAGGAAGGATATCTTTAAGACACCCAGCTCTATCTTTCTCTCTCAATCAAACTCATATATTTATCTGCTACAATAAGATCAACACAGCTTCAAATACTTAAAACAATAAGAACAGCAACAACAAAATATAACACAATAAGAATAAAAGAACAGGGAATAAGTAGAAAAAAGAACAGTAAGAACAGCTAAATAAGAACTGGCCTGAAAGATGACACAGTAACCGCTGATGGCCAGTCACCTCACAGCAGCTACAGGGGTGTTGGGAGGGCGGGAAGACTGCGGTAATAACTCAGCTGCGTGATGAGTTTCAGCTCAGTGAGTTCTGATGTGTTGTTGACATACGGCCCGGCCTCATCCTTGCTGGAAAGGCGGCTAAGGAAATTATTTATCGTGGCAGAGAAATTAAATAGTTGAGTTAAGGTATATTAGTAACAGTCGCGTACAGTAACTGAGCGTCTGAATAGTGTGAGTAAAAAAAAAAAAAAAAACCGTCATATAGTCACCGAAATAAAAAAATACCTTTAGTAACTTTGCTGCCTCCTTTGTTCATATATTTACCTGTATATACTATCTGTGTCTTGCCAGAACCAACTAATGTAAAAATAAATTCCTCAGGGTGCACAAGGATGACGACAAGAACATGGATGGCTGTGGTGTTCACACTTCTTGTGGAGGTAAGTGACGCCTGGTATGCTTTTACTCCTTGTATGACGCTCACTGATGCATGAAATATGGCCTTTATTATCAGACACGTTAAGTTCGGTTAGGTCAGGTTAATAATCAGATATGTTTGGTTCGGTTAGGTTGATAATGAGACACGTTACATTAGGTTAATAATCAAACAGGTTAGGTTAAGTCAGGTCAGGTTAATAATTAAATCAGACATGTTTGGTTAGGTTAAGTTGATAATGAGACTTTACGTTAAGTTAATAATCAAACAGGTTAGGTTAGGTTAAAATAATCAAACCCGTTAGGTTACGCAGTAAAAATTTTATATTGTTTTACTCATATAAAACATAATACAAAGAATATGATTAGCTGGGCAGGAACCCAGTAAAGGCAGAGTGTAGAAGGGCTGAAAATGAGTTCCAGAGGCAGATTGCAAGTGAGGTTAAGTCAAACCCAAAGGCTTTTTACCGCTACACAAAGTCGAAATTAAAAACGGGAGTAGGCATATCAGACATGAGGCTTGAAGATGGTAGTTATGAAGGATAAGGCGGAGGCGTTGAACAATTTTTTTTTCATCGGTGTTCACAACAGAGGATGTGATCAATCTTCCTACGTTTGAGGACAGACGGTTTGACAGTGTTGACCCACATTGTGTTTTCGGATGAGGTTATATGAAATAAACTGTCAAAGCTAGATGAGGTGTATAAGCATCTCAGGGGGCACTACTCAGTTGAGTGTCCTTACTTGGAGCTGGCGGACGCTCGCCCCACTAAGGGTCACAGCTCAAGATTGAAGAAGTCGCAAGTCCGGAAAACCGTGAGGGCAAACTTTTTCGGAGTGAGGGTTGTAAACTCTTGGAACAATCTACCAGAGAGTGTTGTGACGGCACCGAGTGTGAGCTCTTTCAAGGCCAGACTTGACCAACACTGGAGCGGGTTCCTATATATTCAGGAGCCAGTGCATGCCCAGTATCTGCCAACAGTGTGACAGAGACGTGACCGATCGCCCGGGCGGCTAGCGAGCCGATCTTTTGGTGAAGAATATAAATGAAAAGAGGTGACCGATCGCCCGGCGGCTAACAAGCCGATCAGAGAACTGTGTAGCGAGCTTCCGGAGCCCCTTAAGATCCTGTTCTGTAAATGCCTGGATGAGCAAAAGGTCCCCGATGACTGGAAAATGGCTTATTTAAGTCCTTTATTCAAGAAGGGCGATCGTCACTCCACAAATAATTATACTGTAGACCAGTAAGCCTGACCAGCATAGTGTGTAGAGAGCATCGTAAGAGATGTCATGATGGAACATCTGCTACGAAACAACCTTGTAAAGGATTACCAACACGGTTTTATGCCGGTACTGGATGTTTGGAATAAAATTCTAGAACAAGGCGGAAATATCGACAATATATCCCTAGATTGTGCCAAGGCTTTCGACAGCGTACACCATAAAAGGCTGTGAATGAAACTGGAAGGATACGAGATTCGGGGAAATGTCCTAGTAAAAAATCAGAGACTTTCTGCATGACCGCAAAGAGGTCATAAATGTGGTGATAAATGATACGAAGTCGTCGTGTGTACCCACCACAGGGCAGTGTCTTGGGCTCTTTGTTGTTTGTCTGCTTCATTAACGATATGCCAGAAGCTGTACACTCCTCCATACAAATGTTTACGGACGATGCCAAGTTATTTAGGGAAATTAAGAACCAAGCAGACTGTGAAGAGCTACAGAATAATATCTTTTATAATTCAATGTCGCGAAGTGTAAAAGGATGCACCTGAGTCGCACCAACATTAAGGAGGCGTATCACATGTCACAACAGGATGAAGAGACTACATTAATTGAGACCGAATGTGAAAAGGACCTGGGTGTGTAACCACTGTGTATGTTGACAATGAACTTAAGTTCTCGGGCCATTGAGAGAGGAAGGTGAACCAGGCAGCGAAACTAGTAGGTCTTATAAGAAGGTCATTTAGATACAGTGTCTAGAGTATTCTAGACGGTCCGTCGCTCGTCACTATCGTCAAGAGTGAGGTGCTTCCCCGTCTGGAGTATTGTCACTCCGTCTGGTCCCCGAGGTATGCTAGAGACTGTCAACTGATTGAAAATGTCCAAATGAGGGTCACCAGACTGGTGCCTGCTTGACGGAACCTCAGTTACCCAGAGAGATCGGAGCGCCTGCAACTACCTAGGTTATACTACAGACGGGCGAGGCGCGACCTAATCGAAGTGTACAAACATCTCAGGGGGTCACAGCTAAGGTTTGAAAAAAACCACAAGTACAGAAAACTGCGAGGGCAAACTTTTTCGGGGTGAGGGTTGTAAACTCTTGGAACAATCTACCAGAGAGTGTTGTGACGGCACCGAGTGTGAGCTCTTTCAAGGCCAGACTTGACCAACACTGGAGCGGGTTCCTATATATTCAGGAGCCAGTGCATGCCCAGTATCTGCCAACAGTGCGTAACAGAGACGTGACCAACCGCCCAAGCGGCTAACGAGCCTATCAGTGACGAAGAGGATAAAAGTAAAAAGTAAAAGTAAACCATAGTGTCCCACTGAACACTAAACGCAACTGTCACACAAGCATATAAAATGTTTTAAGCTCTAATATTTACCGATATGATACCGTTTCCTTAATGCATGTCGCCTATAGGATGCTTTTATTTCATAACTAAATTCTCCACATTGATCGACTTACGTGTACTGAGATGTGTATGAGACGTAAAACAATAGACTGATTATTTTTGTGTCGAGCAGGTCATCAGCAGCGGGGCGGAGGAGCAGAGCCATACAGCCACCAGCAAGTCAGCTCTCGCTAATAAATTCGTCGGTAAGTAAACGCACACTCACTCACTGTATACCAAATTATGGGTGAAATCACAGAAGATTCTAAATATTGACTATAAACTCGTGAAATAACTTGATGGGAGTTTTACTTTACGGTCACATGCAGATGAACACAGCTGAGACTATTTTCACTTAGTCATGTAGTGTACACATGAGAATGTGATACAGTACTGATATTAGTATATAATGTCAAACTACGTGTTGAGACAAGAGAAAGAGGAAAACAGGTTAGGTTCTCTTAAGTGTGGTTAGGTATGTGCTGTGTTAGTTTTGTTTCTATCGATATAAATCCATTTTTTCTGTTATTTTCATACCGGACATATTAATACGACAGTATTATATGATATGAATTACTTAATAGGCAGGGGTCGAAAATAACGCTCTCTCGTTAACCTGATAATGCTTAGAGAATTCTTTCAGGGGACTGGAGTTTGGAACTCCCGGTTGTCTGCGATAAACTGTTCCGACTTGATAAACCACTTTATTAAATTTTTAGTTTAGTGGATATTGATATTAAAGTTGAAGTTTGTCTTATTATGTAAACTTGAATGTAGGTACAGGGTATATTAGTTACATATATAATGAATTAAATGAATGATGTTAAGTATAAAGTAATAAATTCAAGGTCAGGAACGAATCGAACGCATTGTTTACATTGCGGCTGGACTGATGCTCGTAACTCAGTCATGTCTCACGGTCGCCCGCAGCTTGAGGCCCTGTATACTATGGTCGCATATCATCTGTAATTTTTACATCGTGTTAATAGAAAAGTACTATAGACATGTGGAGATTTGGTACAGGAATGCCACCAGCTGCGAAGAAGCAAACGGCAAAGGAGGAGACCAGCAGGGCGCAGCAGAAAATATATAACTGGTATCTATAGTTTGCCGTTTTGTTGGTTGAGTGGACGTTTGTCGTGGACTTTACGTGTGTTGTGTGGACATTACAGGTGTTGTGTGGACATTACAGGGTTGTGTGGACATTACAGGTGTTGTGAGGTCATTACAGGGTTGTGTGGACATTACAGGGTTGTGTGGACATTACGGGTGCTGTGTGGACATTACAGGGTTGTGTGGACATTACAGGTGTTGTGAGATCATTACAGGTGTTGTGTGGACATTACAGGTGTTACGAGCAAATGTTCTCATGGATCGCTGACGGTGGAGGTGAGGACAGAGGAGGCGTTCTTCGGATCAGTGTACGCCCGTGGGTACCCTAGCCGGTGCCGTGTGATGGGTCAAGGTACCACCACCACCTCCCTCCTCATCTCTGCCCAGAAATGTGGCGTAAAGGTCATCGAAGACGAGGTTAGTTACACTTCTGTTTCATAATGGGTCATGTAAGAGTCTTGTTAAGATCCACTTAGGTCATATCGGAATTAACTTGTGTTATGTCAAGTCTAAGTACGAGTAGAGCTTATCCAACTGAATCATATCAGCATCAAGCTTCATCACTTAAAGGTATAGAAGTGGTAGTAGTAGCATCCTGGTGAAGATTAGCCCTGTCGGGATTTATTGCCAGGCTCGGCCCTCATGTATACGTTGACTATCAAGGCGGTTCTTGAACTGTTTAACAGATATTCAACACATTATTACTGAAAATCTTCCACTTTTCATCAATAACGTTTATATTTAAGTCAAGCATTTCAGTCCAATCATGAGTCCCTGAAGCACTCCTAAGCTCTTGAAATCTACCATTATTGAAATCATAACTGAATCTCGGGATGATTTCTGTATGTTTAACTCTCACAACATATTCCCACATCAGTACAGCATGGTCACTAGTGGCTCCTCATACTCAATATTTAATACTTTAAAATTTACGTCCTCAATAAGTAGATGTAGTAAACTGGGTTCATTTTCACCTCTTTTCCTCGTTGGAGCATCAATGATCTGTTTCAATAGTAAGTCCTGTAACAGATCCAAAAATATACTTGAAAAAGAGATTTAACTTTCCTTAACACAATGAGTGTTCCAGTTAATTTGGGGAGAATTAAAATCTCCACATATTATGTTTCCTTGTGCAAGATATGATGCTCTTCTTATCATTTGTACTAGTTTATTGTTCATTCCTGCTCCTTGACCATCCTTTCTGTAAGTAACTCGGCCAGAATTTTCACATCCTCACATTTAGTCCAGCACCATAATGCATCCTTCACTCCTCTGTTATTAAGCTCTCCTAGTAGCAGCTCATCTTTAAAATATATGACTACAGTACTCCACTTATATCCTGAGCATTTATGCAAGATTTCCATATATATCCTGAAATTCTATAATTTAGTGGTGATTCACAGTCCTGTATCCAAGTTTCAGGTACAAAATTTATATCTGGGTGTGCATTACTTACTGTAACCTTCAGCTCATCACATTTACTTACTAATGATTCTGCATTTGTGTACTGTACATACATTTCAAGTTTTCCACTATGAAGCTGGGCTTATTTACATTTAATCTCAAATCTGGGTTAGAATTAAAATTTTCTCATTTGCACTTTGCATACACCTTTGAGAACTTTCACTTTTACTTCTGTGACTGTTTACATTATTTTCATACGGACATTTCCTTGCTCCTCGAACATTGTTTATGAAATGTTTGGCTTCCCCCTCGGACGGCCCCTCCTCCTGTTGCACCATATTGTTCATCTCTGATATATTTTCCTCTTTTTTTTTAAATGTTTTACCTTTACTTATATTGAGATTTGTTTCACCCGCATCTGTTCTAGCTTTCATTTCTTTATATACTTTTTGTCTATCCTCTCTTTGCTTCTTCGTAAAATCTCCAGAAATGTAAACATTATTCAACCATTCCCAATGGACGAGGCACAGTTTTTTGGCCCCAAACAGTACTTGTTTCATCACTTAACTGTCTTTGAACTTAATACAGATGGGGCATATTTTGGCATTCCATTATTAGTGAACCCTCCTGATTTGACCAACCTTATAATCTGCTGGATATCATCATCAACTATTTCCAGTTTGTCACTAACACCATTTAGTTCTTTAATTTTCTCAATATCACATTGTTTCTTCTGACTTGGTTACACCTTTACATTGATTCTGTCCCCACTTTCCTCTTGAATTTCTCTCTCATCTGGACATGGTGGAATGCCATGGACAATTACATTGTTTTTTGTTTTTCTCTTTCAAAATGTTTGTCAAGACTCTCCTGAACTTTATTTTTTACCATCATCTTTATTTCATCCTTGCTGGTTTGGTTTGAATTTGCACCTAGCTTTTCTTGGAAGGCAGACACAAGTTCCTCTTTCAGCTGAATTATGTTTCTTTTAATCTGTTCGATCTTACTGTGTACATCAAAGAGACTCATCTTGCACTCACTGCTCAACCACACTATGCCGTCCACATCTCCACATTCTACAATGTTTGAATATTTTTCTCTTGATATTCCTAAGCATTTACATTGGAACCATAAATTGCATCGTCACAACAAAGCTAATTTTCCCTTTCTCGGACAGTTTGTTTACACATTCCACATCTGCCATTTTGATTCCCACTGGTTCCGACAGTATTTCTATTACCACTTGCTTGACCTGCCTCATTTTGCACACCTGCTTGTCTCCTCCTGTCCTTTCTTGGGTCTCCATTGTCTCCCATTTTGCCAATTGTTTATCTTCACAATAATTTCACTTTTTTCTAAATGTCAGAAATAACCGCTTTCAGTATGATCCAAATCGGATCCCAAAGAGCACGTCCGTTCACCGTCAGACACGCTGTAGTATATGTAAATGTAAATAATGAACATTCTGTACAATAGATATATAAGTGTTAACTTCCATATGATATCAGTCATAGTAATGTCCAGGTACATCTCGTGAAGCTGCTCCATCAAGTGACTCATGCCTGTGACCAGCGAGTTATGTGAAGGTTCAAGGTTCAGTTAGGTCTTATTAATTTCCATCTCAGTTATAACAAAGGACCACTCGAGTTAACATCAGTGACTATACTTGGATGAAATTTATTTTAGTGTTTACTTGCTTGATGTGAAAGTCCACATGACTGAGGACAAAACTCACTTGATCTACATCAAGCAGCTCCTCAGAGACTACAGAGTTCATGCGGGTCATATCAACCTCCATTTGTATAACAACAATATTAATGAAGGTTAAATTAAGCTTCACAGAGGCTACATTATCGCTGGTTAGGTTAGGTGGTCCTTGATGTGCACTAGTACACCTCCACCTCTTGTACTCCTGTCCTCTCTGAATGGTGGCTGACATAACTAACCCATCAATACCTTTTGGGTTTTAAAAAGAAAACTGTTGAGTATAATAAAGCAAGTACTGTACCAGTGAGTTGTGCGGAGTGTAGACCCACACACTCTTGAACAGTGTCATCTATGGTTCTTATAACACTGGAGACAGAAATCTTAATAGTTACACTGCCTCTCAACAAGATGTTTGGGTAATCAATAATGGTAATATAGAGAGAATACGCAGTTTAAATCACCATGCCCTTTCACTCTAAACTTTTCCTCAGTCTTTACCAATCTTCTCATATACTATACATCCATCTTAATAACATTAATAATAGTAAAATAGTAGTAATAATAATAATAATAATAATAATGAAGATGATGATAATAATAATATTAGTCTCTCATGTCTTCCCCTTCCCTTCTAAGCCTTTCATATCATTTCCAATAATTCCCTGTTGTCTCCACAGTTGGGCCACCACACCTATGAGCTGTTGGTATACATCCAGTTTGACAAGTGGGTACAGCAAGTAATAGATGAACAAGTGCATATTCGCTGCAAACTGGACCGTAATCCCGGGGAACTGCAGGCTGTGGCGCAGGTCAGAATCATAAGCGTCATATTGTTACAGGCCAGCAATACTGTACACCTCCTGTAGCCTGGACCATAATCCATGCTAGCTGCTTACCATGAAGCTTTTTGTCTGATTTTTTAGACTAATGTCACTGTCTGAAGGTTCCGTAATATGTAGTAATAATATATCCTAGTGGCCAATGACAGGTCCTGAAAGTTCCATGATGGTAATAATATGTCCCTCTAGCAGCTACAGTGACATCCATTATGTGTTGCATGAGAGAACTACCTGGTCAGAGTTAGTAAGCACAGTACAGTACACTGGTTCATCAACAAATGTAAGTTATTAGAGATAAAACTGTTGCCTCACGGTACTACTCATAAAATATCCAGTTTCAAGACAGAGGTTCTAACACAACTCTCACTTCTACAAAGATTATCATGGCATTTACTCATGGGATTTTGATTATACTGTACCACTCTTTTAATTGAATAAACTTATCATAAAAGCCTATGTTAAAAGTGCCATGAATGGGTTGGGTTAGTTGCCACAAATCATATACTATTCTGAAGTTGCTACAGAAAATAATGTTTAGGGATACTTATATATCATTGATCATTTCTTATCATCCTGTACTTTAATAGAAAACAATAGTACTACTGTACTTATTCATTAAATCATCATACAGGTTTACAGTTGCTTTGGCATGTTCACAGACAATACAGATACAGTATACAGGTCATCATGTGTAATAAGTGTGTATAGACAGTGGAGGTAAGGTACAGTACAGGTGTACATAGACTGGAGGTATACAGTATCCAGTGTACCTAGACAGTGTTGGTATACAACAATCAACTCGGCAGCCAATTTTTTCACCTCAATGTATGAAAATAATGGATAGTGATATTTTGAGAATGTAAATTATAAAATCAGTGTTTTTGTTTTTGTTTTTTAGGGGGGGGGGTCCAAATTTTGTTGTGAGTGTTCTGTACAGGAAGTAGATGGTAAGATAATGTTGTTTCTTTTTAGTGTTAATTATGCTCTTTTCAAAGTCTGTTGAATTTGCCTCTATCGTAAACAGAGAAGTACAGTACCAAACAGGAATAATTTTCAAGATACTCCCTGGACCCTTGATTTTACTTTTATTACAAATACAGTATAGTCTGATCACTGTATAACTGCTGGGGGCAATAGTGACTCTTATATCACCAGGTGAGCTCTGCTCCTAAACTGATCAATCTATTGTTATGAGGATTAGGCTTTTCTTTCTTTTCATGAACAATGTAGACTATAAGCCACTATTTCTCCCTGACATCTTTAACATTTACAGATGAACGTAGTCAATAAGGATGCTCGCACTGACAGAAAGAAGGATGCCAACGATGAGATTAATTCCATTGCGGCTGTTGTGTTAGCTGGTTCCTCCTCCTCCTCCTCATCACCCTCCTCAAGTGCAGATGTCACCAGTACCAACAGCAACGTAGCATCCAAACTTCGCCAACTTGCTTCCTCGCATCATAAGAACTCTTCCCACAGGAGTCGGGCTCAAGACGATCCTATGAGAGACTGGCAGCCCATCAACCCACCCCCTGAGTTACTCCTCTGGCGTGAGTACCTGTTTGTGTTTCTCGTGTTACCTGTGTTCCTTCATGATGTGGTCTTCTTCCTGGTGATGTTATATTCCTGGTTATAGATCCTTGTGATGATGGGGTCGTGTAGGTCCCCAGGTTCTTGTGATGATGGGGTCGTGTAGGTCCACAGGTTCTTGTGATGATGGGGTCGTGTAGGTCCACAGGTTCTTGTGATGATGGGGTCGTGTAGGTCCACAGGTTCCTGTGATGATGGGGTCGTGTAGGTCCACAGGTTCTTGTGATGATGGGGTCGTGTAGGTCCCCAGGTTCTTGTGATGATGGGGTCGTGTAGGTCCACAGGTTCTTGTGATGATGGGGTCGTGTAGGTCCACAGGTTCTTGTGATGATGGGGTCGTGTAGGTCCACAGGTTCTTGTGATGATGGGGTCGTGTATGTCCCAAGGTTCTAACAATGTTATGGTAGATACATCATATCTTTATGGAAACTGAAGACTGTCAGACTTTTACACAGCACTGAGGTTAACTTGAGGATATTATCACAAATACAAAAGGTAATAGATGGAGGAGGATAAAAAGATTTCAATAATAATCACATTCATGATGGGGAAATGTACTTTTTATATTTTAATTAATACATCTTGAAATACTAATTATTCCATGCACTTGATAAATCTTCAACAATTCTACTTATTTTTCCCTGTCCCAAATTACTGTATTTGTATATTGGGACTAAACTACAGTACAATGGTCTCTCGGTAAACGAACACAATTCGTTCCACAGAGTCGTTCGTTAACCGAATCTATTATTTCAATGGGATCTTGGGTAATTGGTTCCAACTCGCAGAAAAGTACATACAAAGTATAAACAAAATGCAGTACAGTACACTTACTTTGAGGTGTGTATGTAGAATGTTGCTGGTTGATGATGATGATGGGAATTAGAAGTGGGGTGGAGGAGGAGAAGGGAGAAGAGAAGGAAGTGGGGATGGAGAAGAAGGGAGAAGAGAAGCATTTTAATGCTTCTTGGAAGGCGAGTCACCTTCCATAATAATGTCAGGAACCTCTGGATTGACAGATTCTCAAACATGAAAATCCTCTCTCCTTTATGGGGTGGAACTCTGAGGGGAATCATCTTTCTCACCCATGCTTGATGCAGTAAATAAAGAAATTGTAAACATAAAAAAATTGTAAACATTTAAGACTAGAACATAAGAACGTTAAACTTTCAAAATATCATGAATAAAAGATTCTCAGTACAGTATAGCCAGAGTAATGTATGAATCTGTATTATTGTATACATTATTGATTCAATCTTGTCACAAAAAAGTTTACGTTGATATACAAGACTAATAACAGACACCACAGAACAGATGTACTCTACTGATATAATCATGTTTATGTGCTCTACAGAGAACCAGCGGCCTGAGGGGGACCTGGAGCCAGTGTCGTGCTGGATGGATGTTGTGGCCGGGAAGACCATGGACGGTGAGTGACCCAACCCTTGTCTCTATTGTGTTTACTGGCTCATTATTGTGTGTGTGTGTTGACTCATTAGACCACAGAACATAACATTATTAGTGATGGTGTGCTACGATTCTTGACGTGTGATATAAGTCTGAGTTAAGTTTAAACAGTGTTGGTGTCATGGTGCAGGTAAACCAGTAATGGACTATTTGCTGGTGGGCGACGACACTACCATGGTGCTCAAGGTGCGGCAGAGTCCCGGCCTCGATACTCGCATCACTTCCTGCGTAGCTCACGACGGTTCTGGCGACCAGAGTCAAGAACTGATTGATGAACACGGCTGTGCCATCGACGATGACATCATGCCGCCTCTCAGGTTAGCCTTGTCGCACCTACCGTTTAATCTGTGACCAGATGTGTAAATATAAAAATGGATGATAAGACTTAACCATTTTTTTATTTTGTAACAGATATCAGACGTAAATATTGGCCCTCAGATTGTCATTAGTACAGTACATATTATTATTGTCTAGCCCTCCGGGACTCTTGATGCAACCTGTGTGGTAAAGCCAGATGGTATGCTTTGGTGTTTTGTGTTATTTTGGATTACTAAAGTAGTTAAACACTTGAATTTACGATTGTGAGAGAAATGGATTCTTCTAGCCTGAGATTACTGTTTCAGTCAAAATCTTTAAAATTTGATTTGATTTAAAATCTCAACATAATGTAGGTACAGTACTGTACACCTGAACATGACTAAACACATTCAGAATACTGTATTTAAAACATCACTTATGCTGTCTAAAAGTTTTAAATCAACTTGATATCCATTTTCTCAAGAAAAAGATGTTTGTTGCCCAAATAATGCCTTACCTGTTACATTGCCTAGATTTTATCCTCAGGACGCCTGACCTACTTGTACTTGCATTTTGGCAAATGATGTGATAACATACAAAGGTATTCCTTTACGTGCTGGTTAAGGACTTGAGTTCAGAGTTATAAAATTTTAGTAATTAGTGTTAATTAATGAGCCTTGAAATAATTAAATTATTTTAGAATAATTAAAATGTAATTAAGTTGTGCCGATAAGTTTTCAGTGACCTTTATATATTTATTTCTGTTATATAGTCTAACGTTACCATTTAGATACATTGGTTTTCAATTCCTAGAAAAAAGGTGTTGTCGTCATCAGTCCAATAATCCAGCATCCTGGGGGAAGGGATGGGGTGGGGGGGGGTGCCAAACCATCAGATATGCCAGATTATTGGATATTTCTTCAAGCCACAACCTGACGATGCTTTATTTTCACGTTCTTATGTGGTATACTGTAGTGCAGTTTATGTACACATTATAAAGTCAAATAAATAAAACAATGTGTGAAGGAAAAAGATTTAGTAAAATATGATACACTAATAAATAATATAGTTTATTATAAAGTACAACTCACCAATGTTGTACTGTAATTAGTAGTCCTAATGATGCTTGGAAGATTTTAATCAAATTTTCTATTGTAATTACTCGCCAACTGTGGGTTTCCAAGGTGCAATTTATGGTGTTTTATGTTATTATGCAAGTGCTTAATTAGTGAACCCCTTAAATTGCAATTCCCAGAGAAAAGTATATTTTGGTCGAAAAATCGCATCTCGGAAACCCATAGTTGGAGAGTAATTCACATTGAAAATGTCATTAAAATTTTCCAAGATTATTGTGACCACTAGTTATCCCACAATCGAATCGTGGATCATAGATTCAGAATCAGCATGCTCAGGAGTACCTATATCTCGGCAAAATCTAATTTTTGGGCAAAATTGCCAAAATATCAAGCCAATTTAGACTTACATTTTCAGCAGTTTCGGCCCAAATTTGATGGCGGGTTACTGTAATGATTTATCAGGTTATAGTAAACATTTTCTCTTGGGTTTTTCGTGCCAGATAATCTAACTTTCCAGACCATTGGATGCCAGTCAGCACAAAGAGAACCTAATACAGTATATAACACTGAACTGTATTCACCGTAAGAGAAGCAGATTGCATCATAAAAACACAAGGGTTGAAGGGAATGAGATGTTGCGGGGAGAGGCCAGAACTCGAGACGGTTATTAGTAAAACATGAGTAGAGAAGATTTTTTTATTAGTATAAACATGATTGATTAAGTCATTCTAAATCATTATAAACATTATTAGTTAAGTAATTCTATATCATTATAAACATTATTAGTTAAGTAATTCTATCGAGTATTTCCTTCACCAACTCGTCACCTATATAACTCCTCAACCATCAGGGTAAAGTCTAATCCTCGGACCGGGGTGAAGGTGGCTTACGCATCCTTCAAGGCTTTCAAGTTCCCTGACCGAGACAACCTCCACCTCCGCTGCATCGTCCTTGTCTGCCTGGGCTCCTGCAGTCTGGTCAGTCTCCTCATAACACAAAATTAGCTGAAAATAGAGAGTTTATAATGGATTGAGTGAATATGCCACAATAATATATTTTACATGGCATATAAAGTTTATTCTATAGGTTTTAAAGCAAATACTGAACAGGTTAAGTGTTTAATATAACTTTTAGGCAAGCCCCCCTGCCTGTTTAAAAGTTATATTAAACACTTAACCTATTCAGTATTTGATTTAAACCTGTAGGGATTGCCACTGTAGTGAGCTGTTAAGTATTGCTTGATCTATATGAGAAAGGAATTGAGTTTATTTTCATGATAAGTGGTAAAACTCCCATCTTGGACACCAATTTTATTAGCTAAGGTTCTGTATACCGTACATCATTCTAAATATTGATGAAAACAATATCAGTGAGAATATGTTTATGATTTTTGAGAAGTCAGTTTTTCATTGTAGAAATGTGATGTGTAAATGATCCAACACAAAACTAATGTCATCATAATACAGGCATAACCAAATATTGACCTCTCTTAGGTTGACATGAATTAGTGAGGATTTAATGACGGTTTCAGTGGGAGTATAGTAATGAAGGAAACACTGGCGAGGATTGGGAATTTTCCTCTTGATTCTTGTTTAAACCTTATTCATTCTCGTAAGTAAAATTCCCAACGTCTGCTTGTGAGGTGAGTCATATTCAAAGACGTCTTACGTGTTGTAGCCTGTGTGTGGCCGTACAAACAACCGTGTGGGAAGACGGATGGGAGGCCAGGGCAGTATCCAACCACTTGATGATATCCAGGAGAACCAGTCTGCGCTGACGCAGGTAAGCACTTTATCCTTAACCCAATAATTACTATCTCCTCCTGGGGAAGAAGAAACATTAGTTGTATACATATATGTGTTTATATTACTGAAAGACTTAGGAGGTTTGGCTTTAGGTACAGTACAAGGTTATAGAAATCTGTGCGAGGTATTTACACCTTATTTGGAAGTTTGATAGTTATGTAATACAGTGTACTTAAATTTAATATCTTTTGTTTGAGTATTTTGGTGTTCAGGGAGCAGTGTGTGAGTATTTTGGTGTTCAGCCAGCAGTGTGTGAGTATGTTGGTGTTCAGGGAACAGTGTGTGAGTATTTTGGTGTTCAGGGAGCAGTGTGTGAGTATTTTGGTGTTCAGCCAGCAGTGTGTGAGTATGTTGGTGTTCAGGGAACAGTGTGTGAGTATTTTGGTGTTCGGGGAGCAGTGTGTATGTTGAACAGTGTATGAGTATATTGGTGTTCGAGGAGCAGTGTGTATGTTATGTTGGTGTTCAGTGTGTGAGTAGGTGTTCAGGGAGCAGTGTGTGAGTATTTTGGTGTTAGTTTGTTGGTGTTTAGGGAGCAGTGTGTATGTTGAACAGTGTATGAGTATATTGGTGTTCGAGGAGCAGTGTGTATGTTTGTTGGTGTTCGAGGAGCAGTGTGTATGTTTGTTGGTGTTCAGGGAGCAGTGTGTATGTTTGTTGGTGTTTATGGAGCAGTAGCGATATTAAGCAGACAGACACAGGAAGATCTACTGATAACTAATTCCTCGTTATATCACAGGTAGCGAGAGGCAATACCCGTGCACTGCCAAGTCGTGTTCTGGACCGCGTGGAGGTGTTCAACTCTGTCGAGGTTCGAGCACCGGGGATTGAGAGCCAACCAAACCTGGTAAAACAGTATAGAATTGACAAAGAACCGATTGACTCTGTTGATTTCTTCAGGTGAGACAGTGACTGTATATTGTAGTTGTAACTATCCAAGATGTTTCTTTTAGTATTGCAATGGAAACTTCACTGCCTCCGGGTGTTATTTACTGTATGTTTAGGATATTTAATTCACTGCCTCTGAGTGTTATTTACTGTACGTTTAGGATATTTAATTCAAACCTTCACTAAATTTTGTGTGACTTATGACATTATCACACATACACTTGCTGACTTTGTTGATGACTTTTTCAAGATGTGTATTTTATTTTCTTCCATGATCAGCTGTGCATATTTAGTTCATTTTCCCCACAGTGATGAAAACATGTTCTGCGTGACGCCTTACAAGATGATTTTAGCATTTGGGGTACTGCTGACGGTGCTACTGTTAGCGGTCTTATCCGCCTTATACTCCTGCGTCAAGGCGAGGGTGACCAAGGCTCGTTTGCGTCCTCCGCAAGCTGTTGACACCCACCGCCAGTCCCGTGTCACCGGTCCCTACTACAGGTTTGCCCACTGATAATCCTTTCCACTCAGAAATCCTCGACAGTCTACACAATCTGCTGGTTTTTCGTTCCAAGAATCACATCTAGGAATATTTTTTTTAAATTTTCAGGTGAACAGGTCAAAATAAAAAGGGAAATGTTTGAGTAATATAATGTATCCATGATATACCTTATCTATAGCTGTAATTCATCTAATTTCATGTATTTCAAAACTTTAAGGTGTTGTGCTTTTCTCTTATGTAAATGGTGTCAGTCTTGTGGGGTAATTATGTTAGTTATTTATGTTTAGTAATTATTGGGCATTATCTTGGTGAACAAAGTTTTTGTGTATAGCGCGTTTTTTCCCAGCTGATTGGCTGTTGCAAAATCTGTCCGAGTTTCGCTCCGGCAAATTTATAAATTACTATCAGTAATATTATAGACTAACATTAAAAATCAGAATCACATTGAAATATTACACGGTTGTCAAGCAGGGGCGGAAATATGACTGCGAACAACTTCATATTTTTCCCGCATCTGCTGACAGTCGTGTAATATTTCAATGTGATTCTGATTTTTTAAATGTTAGTTTTTGCATAATGTAGTATTACTGATAAGTAATTTGTCTTAGTATGACTTATTGTGAGGAAAAAAGCATATACTAAATGCATCCTCCAAAAGCATGAATTTGCTACCAGTTTAACAGTTAATTCATGTATAATACTTCTGATAAACTTCCTACGGCTTATGTTTTAAATAATGAATGTATGTATCTTTATATAATTTAGCTAAATATCTTTTTTCGTCAGAAACGGTCATCCCAACTATTATGAATAAACTCGTTTAGATATACATCGTTACTTCAGACAAAATTGGACAAGTTTGCAACAGCCAATCAGCTGTAACTCTTGGGAGGGTCGGGGCATATTTTCTCAGCTGAGAAAAAATGTACTATAGTATAGTATACTACTTGTTAAGATGCATAATTATTCCAAAGATTTATTCTAGTGATAAAAAATACATATATATATAGAATAATAGTTCTTATATATTGAAGAACCCAACAGAAATATACACTGTCTACATAGAATCTAAAAACTATAGTGCGTTTTTTCCCAGCTGAGAAGAGATGCCCCGCCTCAAGAGTTACATTATGCAAATTTACAAAATATCAGAACCACACTGAAATATACACGGCCCCTGAAAGTTGGCGGATGAGTGTTTACAGACTGAGGAGCTTGGCCACTTGAGCTGTCAACAGAGGCGGGAATATGAAGCTGTTTGTAGTGATATTTCCCACTCCTGCTGACAGCCGTGTAATATTTCAATGTGATTCTGATCTTTTAAATGTTAGTTTTTGCATAATGTAGTATATTACTGATAAGTAATTTGTCTTAGTATGACTTATGGGGAAAAATATATAATAAATGCATCCTCCAAAAGCATGAATTTGCTACCAGGGTTTAACAGTTAATTCATGTATAATACTTCTGATAAACTTCCACAGCTTATGTTTGAAATAATGAATGTACGTATCTTTACATAATTTAACTAAATATCTTTCTCTTCAGAAACGGTCATCCCAACTTATATGAATAAACTCATTACAAATACATCATTATTCTCGAACAAAATCGGATAGATTTGCGACAGCCAATGAGCTGTAACTCTTGAGGAGGGGGGGGATCTTTTCTTATCTGGGAAAAAATACACTATAGTGAGTATTACTATAATATTTACTTTATCCTGATGAAAGATGCAAAGTCTCAAGTCTCGGGTATGGATTGTACAGCAAATAGTAGCCTGTGTCTTTAACTAATGGTTTAGTAACTTCAAGAACCTAGGACACATTGGCGCTAATGCTCAGAATAGAACAACATCTTCCCTTGAAGAGTCAAATAGTTAACCGAGTTTTAAACTAAATGACCCTGAGATCTATGATGTGGCGGAAAATTAACTAATTCAATAAAATTAATTTATAATATTGAATTAGTTAATTACCGCCACACCACCCCTGCTATACTGTACGGTGTCCTCATAACTCGTTTAGTTTAAAACTCGGGTTGAAACACGACGAACCTCTTCAAGGGAAGATGTTGTTTATCAATACGGGCGTAACAGTCTACAGCCACTATGACACTGACGGGTAGAATCATTGAAGAGGTCCTTGTTGTTGGGTAACTTCAAGGCTGCCACCACCTGAGAGTTACAAGTGATTTCATGTACTTTGTTGTTATGTAGTCAAGTTGTATGATCCTTTCAGTATGTTCTTTAAAGTCATACATACTGTATGTGTAAACTATTCATATATGGAAACTATATAAATGTGTAAACTATATATACTGTATGAATAAATTATACATACTGTATGTGTAACTATATACAATATATGTATAGACTATATGTGTAAGCTATACATATGAGTAAACTATATACAGTACTGTACGTATATATAAATTATGTGTGTAAACTATAAATAATTATACAATTATTTATTTTTCTGTTAAGAGCCAAATTCAATATTATAGTTACAAATATTAAATCTGATAATAAATATATACTAGTGACTTTTCTTCTAGGAATTCTTAATAATCTTTTATAAAGACCACAATGTAGAAAACATCTTAAGAATTTTCCATAGTATGTTATTGAAAAACTTAAGTACAGGTACTGTTCCAAATGGACTGTGAAGAACTACAGAAAGATCTCTGTCAGCTTCAAGAGTGGTGGTGTAAGGAATGGCTATTATGATTTAATGTCATTAAATGCAAGTGGATGTGTAGAAAATGGAGTTAAACATTGATGATGATTATTTAGACCCATCAACATGATATACACTACTGTATTAAGCCTTATGTCTTGGTAATATTTCAACTGAAATATACTTTTCTCTCAGAACTGAAATTTAAGAGGTTTAACTAATTAATTAATTACAGTATAACACACTAACACCAAAATCACAACTCAGAAACCCATAATTGGCGAGTAATTAGCATTGAAAAATGTCATTACATTTTCCAAGCCTCATTACAACCACTAATTACCCAGCAATCGAATCGTAAACCATATATTCGAAAGTAGCATGCTCAGGAGTACCTATATTGCGAATTTCAACAAAATCTAATTTTTGGCCAAAATGGCTAAAATATTAAGCTAATGCCTTACAAATTTTTCGACCAAAATATACTTTTCTCTCAGAACTGAAATTTAAGAGGTTTAACTAATTAATTACTTACAGTATAACACACTAACACCAAAATCACACTTTGAAAACCCATAATTGGATAATTAGCATTGAAAAATGTCATTACATTTTCCAAGCCTCATTACAACCACTAATTACCCAGCAATCGAATCGTAAACCATATGTTCGAAAGTAGCATGCTCAGGAGTACCTATATTGCGAATTTCAACAAAATCTAATTTTTGGCCAAAATGGCTAAAATATTAAGTCTAATGCCTTACAAATTTTTGGACCAAAATATACTTTTCTCTCAGAACTGAAATTTAAGAGGTTTAACTAATTAAGTACTTCCAGAATAACACATTAATACCAAAATCGCACCTCGGAATCCTAAAATTGGCGAGTAATTAGCAGCGTAAATAAAGTAATTAAAATTTTCCACGCGTCATCACCACCTCATATTACCCCGCAATCGAATCGTGGACCATAGATTTGGAATCAGCATGCTCACCTATAATGAGATATTCAACGAAATCTAATAAGCCTTGTCAATAATTACTCCTCAGTCCGTACTCACCCGTGAAGATGTGAATTACACGAAAGCGCTTGGGAACTTTGTGTTTTCTTGTGGTTATCATATATATATATATATATATATATATATATATATATATATATATATATATATATATATATATATATATATATATATATATATATATAAAGAGAGAGAGATGTGCTTATGGGTTGTTTCATTGTAGTTCCTCATAAGCCAAGATTAACATTGGCATTATTCTGGTGGGTGTGTCTCATACGTAGGAAAAATGCTGTAACTGTTGGAAATATCATCTTATTCACAGACTACTTCACTCATCCTCTGTTAAATGCCAAGAAACATTAACAAATTACTTTAAAAATTATTATGATGGATTTGTTTCATAAATGGGGAAAAGGCTGATTGTAAACTGGCCGTGCTAATACAATATTAACATTACTTTTTGGTTAACTAGGATATAAATTTTGGTGGGTAGGCCCGCAGAAAAATACCTAAATCATAATGCGGTCCATGACTTAGGAAAGGTTGCCCACGTCTGGTATAAGGCATTAGCAATAAACACGACGGATGTGGTCTGTATAAGCAGGAAACAATAGACAAGTGTTCAGTATAAACAGTAAACACTATACAGAAGTGTCATCATAAGCAGTAGAGAGAAGTGAATGGTATAAGCAGCAAATACTGTACAGAATTTGTCGGTACAAAAAAACACTACAGAAGCGGTCCCTCTAAACCACACTACAAAACTAGTCGGTACAAGCAACACTAAACAGAAGTAGCAACTATAAGCGAAAAACACTATGGCTACAAAATTTATAGCCATAAGCGGTAAATATTATATAAAAGTAGTCCGGGAAAACAACAAATCCAAACTCAAATGGTCTCAATAACCAGCACCTTTATAAAAATGGTCTGTATAGGCAGGAAACACTACACAAGTGGTCGTTATAAACAGTAAACTATACCAAAATAGGTCCAAGTAAGCAGCAAACACTATACAGAAGTGGTCTTTATAGTGTTTGTTTCTTATGCCGATAACATCTGTACAGTATTTGATGTTTATAATGACCATTTCTGTAGTGTTTTCTGCTTCTACAAGAGTGTTGTGACGGCACTGAGTGTAAGCTCTTTCAAGACCAGACTTGACCAACACTGGAGCAGGTTCAAGTACATTCAGGAGCCAGTTCATGCCCAGTACTTGCCAATAGTGCGTAACAGATACGACACCGACCGCCCAAGCGGCTAACGAGCCGATCAGTGGTGAAGAGGATAAACGTAAAAAGTAAAAGTAATGCGATTTTTTTATATTTATAAATACAAACTGAATATAGTACACGGTAATCTCTTTGATAAATAATATTAATTTTTTTTTCTTTTACTAAAACGAATACTACAAGACTCAAAATGTCTGGGAATATATTGATAACGATTTGTAAAGTAGACGTTGCAACGTCAATGTATTACGCCGGTTACTGTCAAATAACTCAAACTTTCCATTTTCTATGAACGACACCGAAAACAGTCATGGTCAGCCCGTAGTGTTATTCACAGTGTAGGTAAACTGATCATCACTTAGTATGGAATATCACTCAATATAGACGTTTAGTAATGTTCATTTTAGTTTAGT